TGTCGATGCTTTTGAAGGCATTTTCGAACTTGATGAAGTTAAGGTAGACAGTGGACTGTCATTCTATGCTTTGTTCATCAATGACGTATAGCGTTACAATATAATCGGCGTGTGATTTACTTTTCATCTACCCCACAATCTGAGATATATTCATTCCTTCTTATCTTTTAGATTCTATAAATTTCAACTTCATATGTGATTATTTCCTCCCTCACATCCTGTTTTACGAATTGTAATATATCTTTTGTGTTAGCGTTTACAAATCTAATATTAATCAGTTGAGAAGTGTTACTACATATTATTTTGTTTATCACTTCATGCAAGCATGAATTCGATTAAAAAGATTCTAAAAATCATGGATAGATAATGCTCACGAAGTTCTATTGGATTTTTGTGAGTTGAATATGGATTAATTAATACTGTGTAGAAACTTTACTGAAATGTAGGGGTTGTAATTCATTAAGTGGAGTCCCAGTGGCTGAATGGCCTACAAACTTACCTTGTAACTAGAAGGTCCTGGATCCGGACCCAGGTGGGTATGTACTACCAGTGTGTCCCAAACTGGGACGAAACAACTGTCCAATGTTCTCTAGATGATTTTCAATGGTTCTTCAGACGATATCAATCCGTGTTCAAACTCGAAACAAATCTACATATCTGTACCATATTCTAGGACGACAACTAAAACTTGTCAACGCTTTCCTTTCTAGGCCTTTCATATATAAATTTGCTACAATTGGAGATGCTGGTGAACTCATTGCCCCTTCATTTGTTTGACAGTATAGTTTGTCTTTAAAGGTAAACTATGTAGATTCTAAACAAAGTTTCAAGCATTTTATAACTTCTGCTATTGATAATAAAGATTTAGTTAATAATTCCTGATTGTTCTCAAGTTCATATTTCATAATATCATGTGAATTGTACATAGGAATACTAGTAACTAGAGAAACCACATCAAAACTTGCCATCCTTGCCATCTAACTCGTGAAAATGAAATTACTTCGATACGGATACAGAGGGCTAGTTTCGCATATGCCAGTTTACGCCGTCTCTGGAGTAGACGTGTGATATCCAGCTGGCCATCAACCAAAGGGCGTGTGTACTGCTCTCAGCGGTCCGCTCCGTCCTCCTTTATGGCCATGAGGAAGACTTGGCCATTGAGAGCGGAAGACATGAAAAGATTAGCTTTCTTTGATCATAAGTGCCTGCGTTCTATCCGCCGTTTGAAGTGGCATAATAAGGTGAACAATATTGAGGTCAGGCGTCTAGTGCTAGGTGAGGAGGGGAAATCAATCGATGAGGCTGTGAAATTACACCGACTAAGATGGTTAAGACATGTGTTACCTATGCCTAGTCATCGCCTTCCTCGACCGACGGGCAATATTAGCTGAAATAGGGTCAGGCTGGAAAAGAACTAGCGGTGATCAAACCAAAACATGGCATTAGTCAATGAAATCCACAACAGTTAGTTTAGGCCAGCCACGTAATAAGGTGTAGACTTCCTGACTGGTTGGGGTCCTCGGAACGGTAAAAACCAATGAATGCTGGAAACAATTGGTGACATCGCTCAAAATCGTTCTCAATGGTTGGTGCAGATGCATCCACTCTTTTTGACTTATAATTTCCAATAAAACTATGTTGTTCTTCGTTATTACTGTTCCTTTTGTCTCATATCCCTGTCTACTGTCTCTGTTATGCATTTGGCTTTACTTTCTTCTGTTGCTTTGTATGCTACATGGGGTAGCGTGGCGACTTGAACTGCCGCACATCGGTGCAAAGTTCTATGTCGAAAACAGACAGACAGACGTCGAAAAAACTACAGGATGACACTCGATGGCTGCATTTTAAGAAGAAATCAGGACTGACAGCTGGCAGTTAGTTGTAGGAAATATTTTCAAAGCTCATATATCTTTTGAGCTCTTGTCAGTGACATATGGTGAGATGGGTAAATTTTTAGTCAATCGTTCAGTTTCCGAAGTATAACACCATGAATAGGATTTTTGTCTACATTCCACGTTATTCATGATGATTAATCAAAATTTATTTTACGTTTGGAATTGTGATATTCACGTTTTTGTTTACAACTGCCTAAATTGGACAACATAAGAAGATTATAGGTGTATGATTATAAGTTTTATCATAGTATTACTCATGCTGTGTAGTTGGAACTGCACTGATTAATTAATTTTTGTGGTCAGAAGTAGTGTTATTACGTGATTTTGAAAAGTGAGCCATTCTATGAGGTTAACTAAAAGTACATGTGGATGTCAGTTGAGTTGTGACAGTATTAGCTGAGGTAGGATTATGTTGAAGTTTCAGAGTGCTAATATTGAGACTGTATAGATTGACTGATTTGATATGTTGACAATCTATATATATGTATTGTTATAAAGATGAGCTAAAATGGGCCGTACAAAAGCGGGTGTATTCATATTTTAAATTCTTAATTTATGTGAATTACTTATACTTACCGTGCGTCGGTGGCACAGCGGTAGAATGCTCGCCGACCACGCCGCATGTGGTCCAGGGTTCTATCCCCGACCACAGACGCACTTCTTTATCTCACTAAGCCAGTAATAAAGCTGGTGAAGAGGAGAGGTTGGGCATGAGGCTGGATAGCAACCCTGTCCTGTGAAAGTAATCACCACTGCTACAGAAACTTCAGGTCTCTAGCTTGAAGCCCTATGTTCCACTGGGAACGTGAAGGAAATAAAAAAAATTGAAGTCAGAAGAGAGACGAGATTACCTATCATGACCGGTGATATTCTTGGTTGTGGTGGACTGGATCATACCATTTACCATGGGAAGCGAGAAAACAGAAGTATGCGTTGGGCAGACATGAAGATACTGGAAGATTTATAGTTTGCGGTTGATTTATGCCTAATGTCACACAAACTTGAAGATTTACAGACGAAAACTAAGAAGTTGGCAGAAGAGGCTGGCAGCGAAGAGAGGACTTCAAGTGAACACAGAGAAAACAGAGGTGATGATATCCAACCGACAGGAGGAAACAAGCACCAGTCACTATCAACGGGGTAAATCTGGAGGAATCGACTGCTTCAATGTGGGTGTCATAGACATCCAGGGTCGGAAATTCAACGCACACTTTCATTAATCTCAAATCAATCTGGAGGTCTACTGTACTCAGTATAAAAAAAACACTCCTTATAGTTCACAGACTTGGAGTGTCATCAAAGGCGTTTGGAACAAACAAACTCCAGACTTTTATCAACAGCTACCTTTACTCCATAAAGAAGATCAGATAGCGAATCGGAAAGGATTGGCAATAAAAAGTCTGGCATAAAACGAACCCACCATCATGAACCTACTGCCCGACGAATATGCCGAAGAAAATGTAAATGAATTGGACACAATTTCAGGAGACCGTTGAGTAACTCTGAGCGTTGGCCAGACCCTCAGAGAGAATTCGAAAGGCTAAAGACGAGTTGGGTGTGGGTTTGAGAGTGAAATGGAGGAGGTCGTTTGAGGAGGAGATGGGAGCTTATCGGCAATTGTGGAGGAGAATAAAGACGGCTAAAGAAAAGTTGAAATACTGGTTTGCTGATGAAGCCTTGTTCTGCTTGGAACATAAGGGAATATTAATTATAATTCACTTTGTGTTTGTTGTTGTTGAACTGTTCTTATCATTCCTTATGCTCCGAGTGGAACATATGGCTTCAAACCGTTAATTTTTACTAGCGGTCGTGTTGTTTCCTGCATGGTGGTGCTGGTGAGTAAGCTTGTCATGTCATCCTCACGCTTAACTTTCCCTCTTTCCCCGGGCTTATTATCACCTACTTGGCGAGGTTAAATGGAGTGTGTCGGCCAAGAGTCGAACTACGACCTCTCTTACTGCTTAGCTGGCTAAAAGTCTACCACTCGACCACCCACATCGGACTAATATACATCTCAAGATTCCATCATAAATTGCTATGCCTGAGGATATGCGGCGGCTCTGCGTGTTCGATCATCGCTATCTCCGCAGGACTGTTTGCTTTCGATGGCATCATCACGTAAGTAATCCTGAGGTTCGGGTGGCGTGTGTTTAAATACAGTGGAGATCACCATTTGTTGAGTGTCGTCATCTGGAAACATTGGCTTCGATGGCTTGGACATATGCTACGAATGTCATCGCAGAGGGCTTCCGTACAGGTCTCTCTTCGCTAGCAAGCCCTGGAAAGGGATGGAAAAGCAGGCGGAGAGGTGGTCAGCCCACGATGTGGCGTTGGTGGATGAAGAATATTTGTGGTAGGTTAGCATCGGTTGATGCGTCACGACTCCCTGGTTGGAGTCTGAGAGATAGCTCGAATCGATGGCTCGAAACGTTATCAGATATGGTCAAGAATCGTAGTCATCAATGACGAACGTGCTGCATTTTCCTTATTTCTTCCCCTCCCGATGACAGTTGACGTATACTATTTTAACTTGTTAAGTATGACTGTTTTCTTTCCTGATGAGGTTCGTTATTCGTTCTCCATTCATATATTTTTACTTTTAATCTATGTTGTTTTATTATTATTATTGTGTAGCACATCTTCTTGGTGCCATTTTTTACCAAGTTTTTCTGCGTTTAAATAAATAATAAATGATATCGGTTAGAGGACCATTGGAAAATTAGCTGTTTCGTGGGCCTAGTTCGGAACTCTTCAACAGTACGCACTCACCACAGAGGTACGGACCCGGGATCTTCGAGTTACAAGGCTAGCTAACTCGCAGACCATCACACATCACTTGGACCCGATCCAATGGCCAGTCCATGAATTCCAACTACATCTCTCTGGTTGTGTCAATATGAAAGAAGTATTACAAGTAGAATGCCCGGAAATACTAGAAAGGAAGCGTATGTTCATATGTGAATTATTTTGTTTGCTTGTTTGTTTTTGAAAAATAGAATAAAATAAACTTTGCCTAAAAATAAAAACAACAACAACAACGATAGGAGAAAGACAAACAAATTAGTAATAGCATTAACAAGTGAAGGTAGAAATGTTTATACAGGAATATATATATATATATATATATATATATATATATATGAGTATTCTATATTGTCCAGTTAGTGTTTGCTGTTTATAAGCTGTTACCAAAAATAGTGGGGGGGGGGTGGGGTGGGGTGAATGAGAAAGAAATGTTCTTCAATTGTTACTCCATAGATGATGAGGAAGCCATTTTCATTGCTGTACAGATTGGCAATAGGCGTGGCAGCAGGTGAGGGAGAAATTGAAAGAAAAGAAGAGGAAATAAAAATTAGAATGTTAATTATTACTGTGATAATCTTAACACTTTTATTATCATCACATCGTCACATGTAATGAGTATCATTTAGATTGGCAATGTGTCATCCACCTGGCTGTGTGTTTCGTCCTATTTAGGACTCGTCAGTTGGATGAACTTGCATTTCTTGTGAGGCTTGAATCCAGTACCTATAGTTTTTAAACGTCTAAGCATCATCCACTAGAACCTTTGGGCTACGAGAGCCACCTCTTATGCAACAGGTTTTATTCATTATTTAATTAAATTTAGATTTTCCCTTCGATTGATTGGATCGAAGTGCTCGATCTCAGGTTGACATATCGGCTCCTTGTGCAGATGCTTCGACGATGTCTGATTATTTTTAACTCGAAGTAAATTGGTCAATGTTGACGAGCAGTGGAATTCAGGATTCGCATTTCGTCGTATTTGGGACTTGCAGTCAGCTGGATGTGCTTGCATTCTCAGTGAATGACGGATGGTGTTGCCACTGAGGCTTTAATCTTGTGTTTATCGTTTGGAATGCCAAAGCGCGTTATCCATTAGGCCATGAGAACTACCTTTTGTGCGGTTATTATTATGCGTTTTGTAGGTTAATTCCTACTTCCTGTTAATTGATTATATGTTGTAGGGAAATGCTCAGTAGATAAATATGTTGATATGTCGACTTGGCCTAGTAAATAAGACTTGGGTTTATAATGATAGATGAAAGATTCAACTCTCACAGAGAGAACGTATGCGTTTACATCCGGAGAATGAGTTCCCAGTGGGACCGAATATGCATTCAGTTAACTTCATGTTAATCCTTAGACATCGTCGAAGCGTCCGTAGGATTAGGAGGTGACATGTGATGAACACAGACTCAGCATTTCGGTCCAACATATTCAATTAACGGGAAATACAAATTGACTTAAGAAACAAACGGTATGTTTAATATATTAAGAATTTTTGTCTGTTCAGTGTGACGAATTTACTGTTTTCCTTCTACCCTCATAAAGTGATCGTGTTGGTATCTCTTCTACTGGTGTCGAAGGAACTCTTGCAAGCTTTTGTGTAGTATTACAATGGAAAATATTTTTTAAGATTTTTTTATTTCCTTCACGTTTTCAGTGGAACATAGTGCCTCATCTCGGTAGCAGTGGTGTTTATTTTTACAGGATGGGGTTGCTAGCCAGCCTCATTATCTATGGCTTAGTGACGTAAAGGAGTGAGTCTGTGGCCGGGGATTGAACCCCGGACCACATAAGGTGTGGTTGGCGAGCGTCCTAACCGCTGTGCCACCTACGCATAAATGACTAAATATGAATGAAAATGAAATTGTCCATCTCTTCGAATTTGTATTTGATCAGTTGGCTCTAGATTCGAATTCCTCTTCATATATCACTGAGGCTCAAGAAGTCTGCTAGAAATAGTAGTAGGTACGCCTGCATTAATGACCTGGTACAGCTGAGGGTGGGTAGACTTCAGTTTTCCTCTCCAAATGCTGTCATGTTGCTACGCGTTCATAGACACTCTGGCAGACAGGTATGTCCCATTAACTGCCTTCATGAGATATAGATATTCCTCACAAAAGTGAAAGATTGGAATGCCAATGTGGGGTGCTTACAGTCAGACCAGACATGTAGGTCCACCCAGAGGCGCCGAAAATCCTTGATTCTAAACTTATGATGCACATAGGCTACATAGAATCCTAAAGGATTGAATGGCACAGGAAACCGTTTAGGTCACTATCAGCCATGGGAACACAGTTCCTTATGCTACTCCGTCGCCTTATAGAATAGAATTCAAGTCGAAGACTCACAGGAGAGTGTGTATGGCTCCTGAAGACAATCATTTACTTTAGTCTGGGAGTTCAGGTAGTATCTCAGTCCTCATATGAAATCTGAAACTTTGTGGGGCGCATCTTTTGGTTCCCATGATGTACCGAGATTGCGTTTGGATAAGTAAAATAGGTAGTATGCGCACACAGTATACATGATTCATTGTTAAATTCATGGAAATATAATATTATGATATGTGAGGTTAGTTACAAGAGTTATTATTATTATTATTACTATATCTTCATGAATAACTAAATCTACACAAGATGTTTGACACCATTGCGACTTCTGGCTTTGACAACTTAGAAGTATTATATAGTTATTCACTTAAACAAAAATAGGAAAAAAAGATTAGTTGGAGGATTTTGTCATGAGCTGACATCGGTTAGAGAACCATTGGAAAACCAGCTGAGGGTACTGAATAGCTATTTCGTCAGCCTAGTTTGAGACTCTTCATCAGCATGCACCCACCACAGAGGCTGGTACCCAGAACCTTCTGGTTACAAGGCTAGCGAGCTCGTAGACTATTAAGCCACTGGGGTTCTAGTGGGAAGCCGTGACCAGGAGAGTACAACAGGTCGAAGGTGGGGACAGTTACTAACCGAAGACATTGCAAGGTGATCGCGCTGTGTCGTGAATTGGCAGAAGCTATAATTCATGGGCCATTGGATTGAGTCCCAGTGGCTTAATGGTTTACGAGTAAGCTTGCCTTGTAATCCGAAGGTCCTCGGTTTGAACTTTTGTGGATGGTACGTACTGATGATGAGCCGCAAGTTAGGCTGCCCAAACAGCTGCCCAGTACTCCGAACTTGTTTTCTAACGTATGTCATGACCTTGCTCATGACAAAATCCTCTAACCAATGAAGCATAATCCCTACAAATCAATACTTAAGAAAACGATGTAAGTGCAGAACTTGGGCACGGTAGTCTGTAAGCTCCATACCTAGTCAAAATCAATGTTTTATCCTGGTGCACACTAATCATAAATTACCATTTAATCTAAAAACTATACACTACTGATTGATTGAGATGACTAGTTGTATACTACAGATATTTTAACCAGTAGTAGTGCTTGCTAGATAGCAAAATCGAAGTGATCTAAACACTGGATGACCGTTTCACTCATTTGGTGCTGAGTTCATCATCATCAGTGCACCTGGTTTGGCTGGCAGTAACACACAACTACTCACATCAGCCAATCAGTAGTAAGTATATCGCTTTATGCAATTATGCTTGCTTTCTTGATGATTACCATTTATAGTTTCAACCAGATCACTCATATATTGTGATGTGATGTGCATAGTTTCGGTTTGAAAAAACCCCACCTCAAACTGCATATTGTGATTTTAATTTACTCATTTAACCTCACAGCGTACGGGTTGGAGGTGGTGCTGAATTGGATGGAGGCTTTCAAAACAATAGTTAAGAGTTGAATGCTTAATTCTGTTGGCCATGTATTTATTGCTCTAGGAGCAGTTCAACCATTCACTTATTATTATTATTATTATTGTATCCTTTAGTTCCTAGAGGAACATAGGGCTCCAGCTGCGCACCTCCATTGCCTTCGGTTTTCTGACAACTTTTTCACCCTGCTCCATGTCTGTCCACATGCTTTCATCTCCTCCTCGCATGATCTCCTCCAAGTCACCCTTGGACGACCAACTCGCCGCCTCCCTTTCGGGTTCCACTCGAGGGCTTGTCTAGTGATGTTTTCCTCAGCGTATGGCCAATCCATCTCCATTTCTTTCTGCCTATTTGTTTCACAATCGGTTCCTGATTGGTTCGCTCCCAGAGATCCAATAGCTTTACTCATTTATTAAAACACAAACTTGGTACGTGATTGGCACCAAGAGATAAACTAAACAAAATTGTCTGATAGTTTGTGAGACGGCTGGGATACATACTACTCGGAAGCTCATACCGAAACAGTTATTGTCCTAAATGGGTCCACTCCATCCTCGAACCTTTGACTTGAAGCCTGATCCTTAGGAGACGGAGCAGCATGAGGCGTTTCGTTTCCGTGACCAAAACGGGATCCAATGCCATTAGATCCTTTTGAATTCTGGAACCTATATACAGCATAAGCTTGGTATTAGATGGTCGGAGGTAATTGGCAGGAAGTCTTGGAAACGAAGTAGGTTTCGTGCTAGTTGGCAATCGATTGATAGCATTCACTCTGCACCAAAGAAACGACTAGACACGTTACACTAGTTACTGACTAGTGTCCAAACAAAACAAAAAACATCCAATACAGTTTTACAGGAGGTCAATCGCGAGTTCCAATAGCTCAGTCAGTGGTAACTTCTCTTCTTGCTTTCACGTAAGTCTCCTTTCTACTGCACTTTGAGCAAGTAGCCTTTCTTACAATCGGCAGATCCCTTGCCCTCTTTCCACACCTTCTCCAGTAGTGTTGTCATCAAGTCTGCTGATGTCTCAGGGTCCATTTTCAATGCTTCTGCCGGGATTCCATCTGGTCCTGTTGCCTTTCCAGCTTTTAACATCTTGATTGCCTTCAGGATTTCTGGTTTCGTCAGAGGGTTTATGTCCACCAGTAATTCTGCTTCCACCGTTGGTATTATTGGGCTCGTTGTAGGTGGCGGTCGATTTTGGTATTCTTTTAAAGTGTTTTCTTTGCTCCACCATTTTCATCCTTCACTGGCTTAATTTGTGTTGATCGTTTCCCCGATAAGAACCTAGTTGTTTGGTAGAGTGTGGCGAGGTCCGCTTTGCCTGCAGCTTGTTCCGCTGCACTTGCCATAGCTTCATAATATTTTCTTTTGTCTTCCCTGGCACTCTTCTTTACTCTTTTGTTCAGTGTATTGTAGCTTGAATTCAACTCCTGTTTTTGCTGCTGATCGATGCACTGGATAGTCGTTTGTCTCATCATCCTTCTCTCTTCTATTAGTGTCCATGTGTCTGTGGTCAGCCACTATTTGTCCTGTCTCTTCTTTTTGCCTAGAACTGCCATATAGGTTTGACTCCATACCGCTTTCAGGTTGTCCCAGTGTTTTTCAACGCTGATCTCTTCGCTAGTGTTGATTTGTGTCTCCACCTTTTTCCTTATGATTGCAGTGAAAATATCTTTTGTATCCTGATCCTTCAGTTTTTGTCTGTTGAACTTGGCTTGTGGTCTGCCTCTAACTGACGTGGGTTAGAATCTCAAACGGAACATGAGTTCTTTCAACATTGGAGATACGCCCTGCTGACTGGTAAGTGCCGACTAGCACGAAACCTAGATCAGGTGAGGCTTCCTGCCGATTGCCTCCAATTATCGAATATCATCAATTCACAGTGCATCGTGATGGCTAGCCACTACCTTGCCTGACGGTGGCCACAATACAAACTTGATTGATAGAATTTATTCTGCGCCAAAGATAGGCACAGACACTATTACACTACTTACTCACGAGTGTCCAATAAAAACAAAACAAAACAGCTAGGTTCCCTAGCTTTCCTAGGTAAGACCAGTGTGTTAACCACTAGTCCAGTTGTAAGCACAAGAGACGTCCTAATTCTCTGCTTGACTTTTGTAAAGGAACACATCCTATAACCTCTTAAAGGAACCTACTCGACAAAAGATAAACATTCAGCAAAAAGAAAGCATTAGAAGATTATCAGTGATAGTTACAGGATTTCATCATCAGCTGACATCAGTTAGGGAAAACCTGAGAGTACTTGACAACTGTTTCGTCCTAGTTTGGGACTCTTCAGCAGTACGCACCCACCGGGGTTCGAAGCCAGGACGTTCTGCTGAAGAGTCCCAAATCAGGAGGAAACAACTGTCCAGTACTTCCAGGTTTTCCAATGGTTCTCTAACCAATGTCAGCTCATGATGAAATCCTGTAACCAATCAACCAAATCCCTACAAATCAATACTTGAATATCAGTGATATTGTTTGTTAACTGCTGTCTTACCTTGCTTTAAAACATCCATCCATAGTCTTGTCAACTCTGATGATGGTGCCATTAAAAAGAAAGTATGCAGTGTAGTTTCTAAACAAAAGAATGTTTCAGTTTTTTCTGTACAATTTATTGTTGTTGTTGTTGATGTTATTTCAGCGTTGTTTATCGATTTCATTGCTGGTGTTGATGATAACTGTTGCTGTTGTTGTTGTTGGTTGTCTTTACTGTCTAATATAATTCTAGAATTGTCTTGATTGGGATTGCTTTTTATTTCAGTACTATTAGTATTATTCCCTGATGATGAATAGGATATTCTTTGAGTATTTTTATTAGATGTGAAAGATTTTTGACAATCTAATAATTGTTCTGTACTACTTTGATGTACATCTTTGATGATTGAAAAGTTTATTGTGCCTAAAATGGGATGACAATAAAAACAAAATGAAGAAGTAGAAGAGACTAGTTGGAGATTAGTGGGATAATTATAATACTAATAATAAATATAATAATAATAATATCAAGGTCTTGATATGATTATGAGCAATAAATTGTGCTCGAAACGTAGTCATCAGTTAACAATACTGTATAACACTGTGAGACTTTATCAAAACAAAATTTACCCATAATGGAATTACACTCTACCACAGTGCACAAGTTTTATTCTTATATCAAAGAATTTAGAATTCATGGATTGGCCATTGAATCGGGTTCCAATGGCTGAATGGTATGTGAGCTTTTCTTGTAATTGCAACGCCTTGGGTTTGAACCACAGTGAGTGCATACTTCCGATGAGTCTCAAGCTAGGACAAAGTAGCTGTCGAGTAGTCCTCAGGAATTTTCAATGGTTCCCTATTTAGTATCAATTCTTGGCAAACTTAATAGGTGTTTCAAAAGAGAATGTAAATGGCACTGATGTATACAGTAAGTGCATCAATGCTTTGGTCACAGCCAACCGTGAACATGGTAGCGGTTCGATTACCAGTTAATAGGTCAAACTAGTAGAACAAGGACAGTCAGACTAGCCGAACATAAAAACATAGGAAAATCTAGATTAGTTGACCCAAATAAGATAAGAAATCTAGAGAGTAATTCAGCCATAGCATTACACGCAATCACACACAACCATACAATAGGATGGGATAGGATGACAGTTTTAAAGTCTAATGTCACAGGGTGGAGGGAGGGATAGATGGATAACAGAAGCTTTGTTTATCGAATCAACTGCAAATACATGTAATAGGAATGATTTATCACCTGTCCTTGATATCTGGAAAATTCTACTACCCGTACGACAAATGGGAGAAAACAAAGAAAACTATAAAACTCAAGTTTCAAAGTCGTGTGATCACAATTGATATGATTATGAACAATAAATTTTGTTCGAAATATCATCCAGTAAATAATACTGTTACACTCACTGTGTGATATATCTAATATACAAACTAATATGGAATGAAAAAAAGTTATCCAACTGATCAGTCAATTGATTTGCCGAAAATACTGAGATAAACTTTTGTAGCTCATCTGTCGGCGAAATATCTACGTTTCTGGTTTATAGGCAAGAAAAGGGATATTAATTATTAGAATTTGATCATTGATAATTTTTAATTTGCTTTCCACACTTAATTTTGGACGGTTTGACTCTGGAATAACTAAGCAGATGTGGTCAGCTTCTAATTAAATCGTTAGATGGTCAAGTGGTGTGATTTCGGAACCTGAAGGTCTAAGGGTTCTATCCCTGACGGGGAAGAGTTGAAGAAATGAAGACATTGACAGTGGTTCACTACTTCTCTAGTTTTCAGGGATTCTCCAACTGATGTTAGTTTGTGATCTAACTTGTTGTACAAAACTGTTGCAGAGTAGCATATCTAAAATGTGCAAACTAGTAATGTATGATTTACTGTTGAGTTCGTAAATAGTAATGGGTGGGTGTGGGAAACCCTTCAACTGACTTATGTAACATTGTCGTTATTCTCTGCCTAATAGTTTCATTTTATACAACTTGAACTTATGCAGGACAAAATTGCTGAAATCTGGGAACCGTAAACGACTTGGTACGGCTGACGGTCAGTAAACGTCAGTTTTTCTCTCGAAATGCTCTAATTCGCGCACGCGTTCATAGCCTCTGGCAAGTAGACAGAAAGATAGACTGGTCGACATGCAGATCTAGCTACCTAAAATATCTGGAAAGTCCGGATTGCAAACTTATGTTGTATATTGGCTCCAGAATTTAAAAAGATTGAACACTGTATGAAGCTGTTTTGGTTATTGCCAACCATGGTAACGCTGCTCGGGAGGAGTCCCTTAAGAACACCACCTGCTCCGGTCTGGATGCCAGGACAGTGTCCCAATTATCAATCTCTTGTGCTTCCCATGCTGTAAAATGTTAAGTTCCACCTCCCTGCTGCACTCGAAGTCTCTGGTGAATGAATGCTAGCTAGCATATTACTAAGTAGTGAGGACTCGTGACCATCAAGGCCTTCTGGGCCGGTTATCTCGAATCGGCAGAAGTCTGAATTCATAGGCCGGCCAATGAATTCCGTACCAGTGTCTGAATAGTCAAAGTGTCAGTATACTGATCTGAAGGTTGGATCCTTGGTCGGCCAGTGGGTACGTATTTCTATACAGTCTGGAACTAGGACAAAACAACTGTACAGTCCACCGTGGTTTTCAATGGCTATCTAATTGATGTCAGTTCTTAATTGTCATATACTTTCCATTATAAATTCTTCATGTGCAGCGGATTGAATCAAAAATTTTTATTTCAGGACCCGTACTACATTAGTTAGTTAGTTAGTGCGAGCTTGTGACTTTAAGTCTTTTCACCTCAGTGCGATATTCTAGTTTCAGACCTTTGACGTGTTGACTATTGTATACCGCATTTTATTTCAACAAAAACCGTTGAACTACTTAAACATAATTTAGTAGTGTATATACTTCGTGTAAAAATTCATATATGTATAAGACTTACAGTCAATTCGTCCATTTCCTCTTCTTTCACATATAAAAATCTTTTGTTCCAGCATATCACACGACAACCATTTACGTGACCATCTAGCTTGACTTGAACTTCTCACAACTATGCGTTTGTTGTTGCGTTTATCGTTATCTGAAGTTGTCGAATGATTGGCTGTCGAATCATGTGCTACTCGACGTTTAATTGAATCCCAAATGTTATTTCTATTACGACTTGGTTTTTTCATAATCCATAGATAACCACCGCATATTCTACCGGTAAGAATAATTTTACACTGGAAATAGTCTAACGATTCATCTTCTGCAAGTAGTAATTTTTGTGCTTTAGATGTTCGTGATGTAATCCAACTGCCTAGAATACTTGATAAACACATTCCAGTGTTTGCCTCAGGCAGCGCGGATGTATCCGAGGATTTTAGGGCTAAATTGTCAACTGGATGATGAAGAGACTGTAAGTAATCTCTTAAATTAAATGCGTATTCAGGTTTCTGTTTAACATATCGTTTGACTTTTTGTATCTAAAACAGGTTAAATAGAGAAACATAAAAATTTGTCAATTATTTTATTATTATTTCAGATAATACTTATTTAGTAATAATAGTAGTATCTTATGAAAAAACGAGAAGACGGATGATTTGAAACTGAGCAGGATAATTTCGTTTAGTATCATTGACTAACGCTGGTGACGTTTCTATCGACTGGACAAGTGGCAGGTGGCCTAGATTGTGGTCGAATTGGAAATGGCAACTTTCGAATTACTGAACTGCCTCTTTACCGAATCATTAACCTACTAATAGGTTCATAGTGTATATATATGTGTGAAGTGAACCGTTGTAGGAGTTATGAGTAAAACTCAGTGACAAAACTCATTAATATTAGTTCAGCCTGCAAATCGGAGTCATATTTGGTGTTGGACATCAGATCTCCACGCTTATTCCTCAAAAAGACGATAACTGAATACTGTTGACAAAGCATGTTCAGATCAGATTGCAACGCTGTAAACCATCATTGAACAGAGCATAGAATGCCAGTTACAAATCTCTGATTCAAATTCATCATCATTTGAAAAAAGCCTTCGATAGGGTTGACTGTGAAGTGATTTCGGTGCTTCTTCAACACTACAGAGTGCATTGCCACAAGCTTTTATTAACCTCATTCAGTAACTATATAAGGATGTCGCATGTCATGGGATTCACTCAGGAAAGCTTAGTGCAGTGTTTAAAGTGAGGAAAAGGCGGCCTACTATCACCGATGATATTCTTGACTGTGGTGGACTGGATTATGCTTCAGACTGTGGGGAGCGAATAGATGAACATACGTTGAATGGAGAAAAGACTCTGGAAGATTTGTATTTCAGAGATGACTTGTGTCTAATGTCTTACACCCTTGAAAATCTACAAGTGAAAACCAACAGGTTGGAGAAAGGAACGGCGAAGACACGCCTTCAAGTTCACATTCACGGAAGACAGAGGTAATGAAGATACCTAATCAGCAACAGCAAGCACCATTAGGGGGAAATCTAATGGAAACCTCTGCTTTTGCTAACATGATCCAGGCAAAGTCATCTCAACTACAGGAAACCAGCACAGATGAAAATGTCAAGGCTAGCCAGGAATGAAAATGCAAGACAGACTTTCAAAAATCTAAAATTGATGTGGAAATCTGCTTCCCTTAGCATAAACATCAAGATTTGCATTTTCAAAACTAATGTCAAGTTAGTGTTTCTATATACAGTTCAGAGAATTGGCTGCCGATTGACGAAAAGCATTTCCGAGAAAACTAGTGCAGACATTCACAGCCTTCTTGGCTCTCTTTATAGTGAATGTTGGACGACCGTCTAGAAGTGATAAAGTGATACAAGGAACTGTGGTAGGCAGCGAATTAGCCAACAAAACATTATTTGAATAAAGCAAGAACAACAGTTTTTGAAGTATAGAATACTACTATTAGTTATCTCCTTGACTTCTCATCAGCTGTTTGTTAATATCTTAGCGACATTATTAAGTATATCTGCAGAAACAATCGCAATATACTTGCACAGAGTTCATTTTTAAGCAAAAATCAATCAGTTATTTTATGCTTTGCGAAAAGTAATGATCATACACATTGAAATCTTTCGGCACTACGTAATCAGATGAAAGACAGGATGAAAATATCCAGTTACCAGGCAGGGCAAGAAAAGACTGATAATCACTTTTTTCTGGACGCATAAATTAGGTTTCAGGTGCTTGATGGAAAATTGAACTCTTTTTTTTTTAGATTTACAGCTTGATTCCACACTGTATTTTTGGTACAAGTATGGAATTTTCAGCATGGATATCGGTAGCCCAAATTTCGCAGGCCGACCATAGATATCAGGTGTGCGCCGGCGTGGGTTCGAACCCCGGACCATGTGCATGGTCGGCGAGAGTCCTAACCACTGTGCCACCGATGCACACTCTTTTGTCTATTAGTAATTTTGAACGTAATGTCGGAAGTTTCCATTGTGTATGATCATTATTGTTCGGAAGAGTGTTTAATATATATATACATATATGTATAATTACTGTATGCATATATTGATTGATTTTTGTTTAAAAATGGACTCTATGCAAGTATGTTAAAATTGTTTCTACAGATATCCTTAATAATGCCTTTGGTCTGTGGGCAGCAGCTGATGAGAAGCCAACGAAAATAACTGATGGTAGTATTCTCTACTGCAAAAACTGTTGTTGTTCTTGTTGTATTCAAATTCATTAAGGGGAATAAATGTATGAAACTATTATTCGACAAATAGGGAGTTATTGTTACACACTGAGGACACCGTTGAATGACATCGGCAGTTAGATGCTCGCGTAGAACTCTAGTGGATAATGACTTATTGGGCGTTCAGGACTGATTTGAAAGAGATCCTATGAGGAGGATATGAGAGCTCAGGGCAGTTGTGGAACCAGCTAAAGAGGAATGCAGCAAATAAGGTGAAATGACAATGTGCTTTTGAAACCGAAGAGAATAGTGGTAATTAAGCGTCATGATGGCTAGCAATATCAGTCACTTAGTTTTGATCAAACTATAAAACTAGAGTGATATTGAGCACTGAACAGAGCACAGAGTCCCGCGCCTATTCGTTAAAAGACTACAACTGAACACTGTTGACATGGTAGGAGAGTAGTAATTTAACTGTTTAATCTGGAATAGTTTCTGAAATCACCTCATCTAGTTTACGAGATCGCTAGTTTTCTAGCCGATCCCAAGCCCAGGTAAAAAGAGAGGATTGGGCGGGGAGCTAGTAACCCTATTCCACAAAACCAATCAAAATTCTACAGAAACCTTAACGCACGAGGATAATATTGAAAATGCGAAAAATATAAAAAAACAAACAGATTCTTCGCTGGAATCGGAGAGGCGAAATGACGCAGGCTGGTGAAAGCATTCGGAAAGCCAGGTGATGTGTCGTATCTCTGTGAAAGCAAGAATAAGAATGGGGATGTGGGGAGTGAGAAGACAGGAATCCGTTGGACTGAAAAGAAGACTGTAGAAGATATGGATTTCGCAAATAATTTATGTTTGATGTCATACACACAAACTCGAAGGCTTGCAGGCGAAAACCAAAAAACTGACTTGAGAGTCAAGGCAGGCAATGAAGACAGAACTCCAGGTGAACATAGAGAAGACGGAGGCGATGAAGATAACCTACCAACCAAGGATAAGAACAATCAGTACCAATCGCCATCAACGGGAGAGATTCGACCTAGGTTACTTCCTTCAGTCATCTGGCCAGGAAGCACGGTTTCAACCACAGGCAGTCGGACAGTACGGACGTCGAATCCATAGAGAATCAGAAATGGAGGATACACGTTCATCAATCAGAAACCAGTTTGAAAATCTTCTACACTCACTCAGGCAGCATGAAGAACAAGATTGGGATTCTGTTAAACACAAATGTGAAGTCACTGAGTCAGTGCTTCTATACGGGTCAGAAACTTGCACTGCGCACCTGTCACGAGAAGGATTTCCAACACGTTGCAGACTTTTATTAACAGCTGCCTTCACTGGCTCTATTCTGCAGATGAAATGGCTGGCTTGGTAGAAAGAATTAGCAGCAAGGAACTATTGGAGTCAAGGAAGCAACCAAGAGCCTATTGCTCAACAAATATGTTAGAGAGAATGGAGATGGATTGATCGGGCGTACGTCATTGAGGAGGTCACCGAATGACATCGCGCACAGTGCACACCATTGCTCGGGTGGAATCCCAATGGGAAGAGGCGACGAGTGGGTCGTCAGTGTGAGAATGGCATGGAGGAGATCGTGTGAGTTGGAGGGGAAGATGAGAGATTCTGGACAATCGTGGAGCAAGCTGGCTGAAGAGGACGACAGAGAATAGAAGAAAGTGGAGATGTGTTGTTGAATACGTATGTTCCACTAGGAACTCATGGCAATAATCCAAGATTTCCTATGTGCTTTCATTTTTTCGTCACACGATATCCTCTACATCACCATCGAAGCAATGTCCAACTCTTCGTTTCACGCTTGCATGACTGGTGCGTGATGTCACTCGACAGCAGTCTCTTCAGAAAGTGTGCAATGTATCCCTGTTCATTTTCTTCAGCATATTTGTTGGGCAATAAGTTCCTCGTTTGTTCGCTGACAGATTTCGGTGTTACTAATCCATTCTGGTGATCTGTTTCCAGTGCTACGCTCCGACAAACAACACAGACCCCATGGAGAAGAAGAAAGACTTCTACAGACAACTGCAGACAGTAATGAACAAGACTCCAAAATTATAATTTTTGACCTGAATTTTCAGATTTGTCGTCACTTGATGATTTACTTTTTATTATTTGGTAGATTTGGTCTATGTCAACATGTTTGTTAAACGCATGTTCACTTGAGTACCAGGCTTCTAGAAATTCTCTGGCACGTCTGGTGTTTCCTCTGTTTAAAATTTCGACATTTTACCAATCATCAAATTGATGTCCATAATTATCTTCATGCATTGATATGAAAGCATATACACACATATATCATGTCTTTTCACATCTAATTTGTGTTCCTGGATTCTGATTCGAAGAGGACGCTCACTTTGATCGATGTAATATCTGTTACAGTTTATACAGTTTACTTATCTCTGAAATAATAGCTAGAATATTAAATGAATTTGAAACAGATATAGCACAAAAGTCATTCCAATCACTTTATTCAATATTCTGCAAACCAAAATACCCATCCAACAGTAAAAGAAGATAAAGTTAATATCATTTACAAATAAACCGTATGAACTACAATCAATATTACATCAGTCACAAAGTCTGCATCCCCTTAGAATCAGAATCCAGGAACACAAATCAGCTATGAAAAGACATGATATATATTCCTGTTTCATATCAATGCATGTAGATAATTATAGACATCAGTTTGATAATGTGGGATAATGTCGAAATCTTAGACAGAGGAAACACCACCGAAAGTGCAGTCAGGGAATTCCTAGAAGCCTGCTACTCAAGTGAATCAGCCAGCGATTAACAAACATGTTGACATAGACCAAATCTACCAACTAATAAAAAGTAAATCATGTGACGAGAAATTTCAAAATCCATGTCAATACAAAATGATCAATACAGATGTAAATCGACTACCAGTCATGAAGGTGGTAACCAGGAGACACAATTCTATCATTAATAGAGAATTTAAGTGAGTTCATTTAATGCTAAAACTTGTGCTGAAGATGTCCAGCAGGACGATGAAAGCTCAACAATTAAATCAACCAGTGCATAGAACACAACTAACTGCAAATCTTCTCAATTATTTCAACATGATTGAATAATATACACTGTTCATCCGTAAATGTTGGATTGCACCACCTCAGCGTCCGACGTATTTGTTGATCCTTATCTTCTTGTTTTTCCACTTCGACCTTCACTGTCTTCGTTCAGTTGGCGTGCTTTCCAACCGATTTCACACTATACCTAGTAAAGCCTATACGGCCAGTACATACAAGAAGCCTGTATGGTAAGTTAGTGTTTGAAATCGAATCGAGAATCTTATCTACACTCTATTCCCATAGAAGAGTCGATTGATGATCAAATAGCTCCCCTATTATCCTGTCCAGATCTAGAGTCAAGTTTAAAATTCGCGGGAAATTTTGAATCTTGCGCCGAATGAAAATACATATTTCAACAAATCAATACTAATTAATGCAAATAAATAAATAAATAAATAAATTTTTATACTTACCTGATTTATATCATTCGGATTTTTCATTTCTGTTGAATTAAACACCTTTTTACACTTGATCATATTTATTCGACTATTATTCATTTTATCTTCTTTGTGTAAATCATTTAAAGAAGTTGTTGATGAAGATGATTGTTGTGCTATTGTGCCGAAACCAAGTTGTTCATGAATTGATTTAGCGGTCTCTTTAATTTGTTGAACTGTTTTATTACTACTACTGTTATTATTATTATTATTACTGTTATTTAGTGCTCTTGTTATTTTGTGTGGAAATTTTCTTTGATTCAACAGCTTGGCATTATTATTATTATCATCATTGATATTCACATAATACGGTGGAGGTAAAGGCCGTTGTTTAGAATCAGTAAAGTTTCGATTTAAAGGCTGTTCAACCACACATACACACACAAACACACGTAGAAGGAAGAAATAAAAATATATACGTATTCATTAACATCATGTGTATACACAAGTGCATGTCATTTAAATCAATAAACGAAAATATACTTTGTACTGTATGTGTTAACTGACTACTGAAATCCAGTAAAAGTAGTAATCATACTAATATTTCAAAAAATAAGTGAACCTTTTAGAGAATATTATTACTATTCATTTGGGTTCTGTGTAGAAAGTAAGGCTTCAAAAATACATAGTGATTTCATTGCCTTCTCTGCAGGCTATACGCTTTTGTTTCCGCCTCACACAATCTCCTTGATGTTACCTTCGGATCAATAGTTAACTCGTCTTTTCGTATTCGGGTTCTACTCGAGAGTCACTCTATAGTCTCCTTAGAGTATGTCTAACTCATTTCCTTCAACATATTTGTTGTTGGGTAGTGGGTTCTTGGTGTTGGTTCATCTGATCTTCAGTATGCAGTGAAGACAGTGGTTAATGAAAGTTCGCAGACTATAGGAAATTACTTTTGGCTAAGCGTGGACCAAGGTCTCTGAACCATAAAGGAGGCGTGGCTTAATATTACCGTTCAATATGCGGATCTTCCTCTTTACCCTGAGTGTAGTAGAATTAAGTACAGATTTCAGATTGATGGTCACCCGTCTTGCTTTTCCGCGCTGCCGCTACCTATAATTGAAATGATACTGACTAGAGAAGTGAGAGATTCAACTTCCTTCGAACTTTTATCGTTGTTAGTGACTGGTACCTGTTCTTGTTGTTGGTTGGGTAGCTTTATCTCTTCTGTCTTCTCTATGTTAACTTAAAGTCCTGTCTTCGCTGTCTGCCTCCTCCCTGTCAATTAAATGGATTTTACTTGTAGATCATCGGGTCTAATTGACATCACACACATAGATTATCTGCAAAGTACAGATCTATTTCAGGGTGGAATATAAGTATTCTGTTAGGGAATTATACTCTACCCATAGTGTCTCTAATTTGGATTTTTATTTCGATAAAAACTCATTCTTCCTATAGCAATCTAATGACTAATTTGAAAACCTGGAAGTCCTGGACAGCTGTTTCGTTCTGGTTTGGAGCTCTTCATCAACATGCACCCCACTGGAGTCAAGATACAACACCTTCAGGTTACAAGGTAAGCTTGTAAACGACTCATCCATTGGCCCATAAATTCCAAATTCTAAAAATTCTACGATATATCGCGACCACTCGCCAATCTCATCGCTGGAGAGTATTTATTCTCATACCCGATCTGCTGTACCCCACTGGTCACGGCTTCTCACTAGAAGCAAAACAGGAATAAACAGCTCTCCGGTACTCCCAGCTGGTTTTCCAATGGTTCTCTGACCTATGTCATCTCGTGATGTAATCCTGTGACCAGTCAAATCGAATCCCTGCAAGCTAACAATTAATGAGTTTGAAAGTTAGACTTGGCGTCGAACTATCGGTATTAGTTAGGTAGCAATTGAGAATTCGCGCTTTGCAGCCACTGGTCACTAGTGGACAGAATGAATTGAAATCCGATTTTTTGGTGTAGATTTAACTGAATTCTAGGGTTAACTTCGTAGTGAATGTTTTCACTAGTGAAGTCGAAAGCTGTTAGATTGATTTTCTCAGTACTGTCATTATGAAAACTAGTGAACATGAGGTAAGATTAGTCAGGTTAGCCGTTACTAAAATTATCATTCAGTTAGGCTAATAAGTGGAACTTGGTACCAGATGGAAAATAGGGTCTCAGTGGTAAACCGCAGTTTCATTCCGCACTCTGAAGTCTTATACAACTGATGTCAATTAAAAAGTTTTCTCAGCCTACGTTTATTCTACCTCAATTTTCTGAACATTTGTTGGGCAATAGGTTCATGATTGCTTCGTTGCCTTCCAAAGTGCCTTGTTGCTTATCGTTCCTGGAACTGGTACCCATCTAATAGTGTTTCCTCTTCTTAACCAGTCAATATTCTCTTGAAAGGCTAGTAATGACAATGTTTCATAGTAAGTATGCAGAGAAACGATGTGTTGTCTATATTATCTAATCAAAAGCTAAGTATAATTATCTGATCCCACGAATAAGATTAAGATCTGCGAATAAATCCTATTTAGGTTGACTTGAGGGAGCGAAATCAACCAGTTTATGAGATAAATACTATTGGTGAGAGTATGGCCAATGTAAAGTTCATGTAAATCCTACCTTTCATGCTAAAAATATGAAGCAAAGTTGTTTCGTCCTTGTTTGAGAATCTTCAATGGCACACACCCATAAACCCACTAGGGATCAAACCCAGGACATTTGGGTTCTAAGGAAAATTCATTGTGCATTTAGCCACTGTGAAGGAATCAAGTGGTTGGGCCATGGATCCTAACTCCTGCCAATTCGTGACTAGTAGGATCCATCAGGTCGCATGTGAGGAAAAGTACCGAAAACATTATCGCGAGACAGCGCCAGAAACCTTCAGTTGAGTGAAGTTGCAATTCATAGGTCATCCAGTGGACTGCATCACAGTGGCTTTACAGTCACGCAGTCGCCTAGTAACCTGAAGATTGTGTACTCTTTCTCCAGTAGGGTAATGAGTGCATACTGTGAAGAGTCACAGACTAGGACGAAATAGCTGTTCACTTTCTCTCTGCTTATTTCTAATGATTCTACAACTGACATCAATCTGTGATCACACTTGACACCAGTCAAATCTTTATAAAAACTGACACTTGAAAATTAAAGTCAAGATATTGAAATAACGTTTTATATGCCTGTATTCTTTATCAAGATGTGTGATTTTGTTGCCATAAGTGCGTTTGTTTTTCATATACTCTTAGACCTATTGCCATAGTGTCAATCATATGTAGAGGGAATTTAGGGGTCTTCCAATACAGAATGAACAATGACGTGTACAACGGTTGTGAACTATGCAGAGGTTTGTTACTCTTTTCTACTAATCCACTTTCCTTTCTTTACACTCTTTTGCTTTCCGAGTGGAATACAGGACTGCATGCTTGAGTTTTCCCATTTCAGAAGCAGCGGTGTTTTTAACTTTTGACGGGGTGGGGTAAGTAACCTCACGTGCTCAGACTCTCCTCTTTACATCGGGGTCACTGTCTGAGGGAGGTTAAGGGTTGTGTCGATGGGGAATGGAACCTGGACTAAGTGGTTGGTTGACAAGGTTTTTACCACTAAACCACCAATGCATTATGAGTTGTCTGGAGGCCCAGAAATATTAACTCATAGGGCAAACGCAACGTGAAATCTACAAACGTATTCTGAAACATTGTCCAGCTTGGTTAGCAAGGGGGGTGGAAAGAAGAATAGTAACAGCTCCAACCTCGAACAACTTGTCAACCCTGGTCATCCAGCACCCTTCGCATGAGTGTTTTGCCCTGCTACATAGAGTCTCTCAGTATCGTACACACGGACTTGTAATACTCAATCTGTACATAGTTGAACCATCGGCTATTCATGATATGAAATCAGACCTCTGCATTCAAAGGCACCACCTACATTCACTCACTTTATCGTGGCCAGAGTAACGCTCTTACTACAATTTCGCTTCCTTTTTATTATCTGATGAAAATGAATCGTCTAAAAGAAAATTTTCTTCGTTATTTACGTATTTTCTTATGACTTCATATGGGAATATTTCATTCTTTACTCATCTGTTTCCCACTCTCAGCTTCTATCTATAATTATTCGTGGCAATTTTTGTTCAGTACAGGATCAAGTTATAAACTGTAGGTTAATATTTTGATCTTTTAGATGCTTTTCAGTTGAATGTAGTTGCTTTAAAAGATTCTCTTCAGTGAACTGACTATACCATACCATTTTTTTGGGTATTCAAGTGACGTGGTCTTATGTCTTTAAAAACAATACTGTTATACAACCCCAGCCATCCATGACGTGAATGAGAACAGGAACTAATCATTGACGTATGAATATTATTATTATTTTTAATGAAGTAGCTAATTCTGTTTAAGTTTTGTACTTCTGTGTATCTTACATAAATTATTTAAGGCGTCCTACGTTCTCTGATTGCAACTTCAGTGTGAAGTCAGTGCTACTTACTATGCGGATCAGAGAATTGGCGTTGCGTAACGAAGGGCCCTTCGAACAAACTACAGACCTCCATCAACAGCTATCTTCGCTCCATACTACTCAGGATTAGATGGCCGGTCAGAAATTATCAGCAACAGGGATCTCTAGGGACGAACAAATCAGGAACCGACTACGCAACATATATGCAGCGAGAAATGGAGGCGGACTGACCATACTCTGAGAAAACAAACCATCAAGTGATTGACATGACAAGCCAGGTCATCTCTCGAGTTGAACCCAAATGCAAAGCAGTGAGTTAGCTGGTCGTCAGTGCGAGGGTGACATGGAGGAGGTCATGAAAAGAGGAGATGAAAGTATGTGAGGAGACGTGGAGCCAGGTGACAACGTTGGCAGGGAACCGGACGCAATGGAGACGTGCGGGTGGAGCCCTATATTCCTCTTGGAACTAACGGAGATAATATTAATTGGATCAGCTGATATGACATAGTTTTGGTCTTATAGGATGCTTACTTTATTCTGGTGACCTAATGGTGCTAATAGTCATAATAATAATAGTAATAATCTGTTTATTCTGAATAGTACTCTAAGCAGAAGGCATAGCTGATATATATCCATATAATATGTGTGTTTTGTTTGACAGTCTGTCCTTGGTGATATTTATCCATATAATATGTGTGTTTGTTTGACAATCGGTTATATTTTGCTATGTATATATGGATCGATATTCCATTATAATTAGCCAATCATGTTAAGACTGTCTATCGATTTGTTCATTTTGAATATTCGCTCACACACTTGTGTTCACACACTTTCGGACATTCATATATTTTGCTCTCACACACTTGGGTGACATTGATTCTCCTGGTGTTTTGGAAAATAGAAGTATCGTCGCAACCCTAGTGGTCTTCTGACTACCGTCTTTCTTGCGTCAGGACTATTAATTTCTCTACCAGTACATAACAATAGCATAATATCCTCTCTTCGTCCAGGATCTCCAAGTAAGATAGTAACTGATAGTAAATTATGTGAGAGACACACTGCTGTCTGCTCTGAAACGCCGACCAATCCGCCTTGTGATATTTCTCTTTTGCATCCCTCCATCGAGAAATCCACGATATTTGGCTGAAAGCCGACTACAAAAAAAGTGTGTAGGAGTGTGTATTTCAAAACAAGGACACAACAGTAGTGGTGTGGTGACAGCTGGCTGTCAGTCAAAATTGGTGGACAGTAATTTACGTCAATGTTTATGTCCCCAATATTGGTCGTGAGATACAGTTAACATATAGATGATCTGACATTGAAGAAACAGCCACAAAGAGATGCAAGGTTAACTTTCTGTAAGGAACAACCAATCAGAAGACTGTGTTTTTCTGCTAACAATAATCTATAATATTTACATGAAAATCTATAAATATGTGTTGATTTCCTTAATGAACAATCTGTTTCCTGGCCCTTGTCTTCTGTTGTTACAGTGGTAGTTTGTACTAAAATTGTCCGGTACAGGTTTCTTATGTACTACGATACGTTGCCACTTGTAACTTTGCCTTTTTCTCAAGCTTAGTAGAAACCTGCGAATTAGCAGGTTCAGCGAAGGGACTATTTTCAACGAATTTATTATCAAGCTGTACAATCGTCTATATATATATATATATGTATATATTTATATATCCTGTGAGAAGAATTGAATGCATAAAACAATAATAGCATTAGTATGAAATGCAATTGAAATGTTTGTGATCATAGTTAATCATAGTTCAGTGTGAAGTGACAAAACAATTTATGTCATATTTGGAATAATTCATAGGATGTATAGAAATTGGAAGGGGTGTGCAATTATACGATTAGTAGGCAAGTAGAATGAAAATACAAACGTTATGTAACACTTTTCGAAATTTGCTTACATAGAATTTACCATTACAAAACAAAATTGATTTGAAATGACAAGCGGAACGAGTGAAATAATACCAGGGACAACTCGAAGTGAGAATACTATAGAGTGGAATAACAATTTATGTAATAAAGGAAGAGTAGGTAGAGCCAAAATATGATTAGGGATCACCATACGTTAGCATATAGGGATTAAGATCATGAAAGTTGAAGGGATTGAACGAACTTTTTATGTAAACAGAGACCTGGTTTTTCTGTTTCACTGGCCAAAGATGGCTTCAGTAATACAGATGATTCGGATACGTAATGATTTGGTCTAATCACTTTTCGCTTATTTATCCACCCGATATCACTGAAAGAAGGATCTCACTGTCACTGAAACGAACATTCCCTGCTTCATTTTTGAGAACAGCGTTTACTAGTCGACCATTATTATTCAATAACCTAAAGAAAAAAGATCACGCAGTTGATCAACTTTATGTGTGTTTGACTCCAGTTTTGTCCAAGAGGGTGAAAGAATACAATCCTGTATGATTATGAAGATGTGGAAGTTGAGCAATAAGAAGCTAGATCATTGAAAAGCTGGTCGGTAATGATCACCCTATCTCTATAGCCTCCGCCTTTAAAGTCATCGACAAGGCGAAAAGTAATTTACCGAAATCATTACGCATCCGACTCATCTGTATTGCTGAAGTTATTTCTGACCATATAAACAGAAAGACCAGATCTCTGTATACAGAAAGAGTTCATCCAATCCCTCCAACTTTCATGATCTTAATCCTTCTATGCTAAAGTGTGGTAATTCCTAATCGCATTTTTGCGCTATCTGTTAATCGTTTTGTTCTATTCAGTTTGTATATTCTTCCTTTATTAAATAAATTGTTATTCTACTTTGTACTATTCTCAGTTTGAATTATCCCTCGGTATTACTTCACTTGTTCCATTTGTCATTCTAAATCAATTCTGTTTTGCAACGTTTAATCCTATGCTAGCAAATTTCACACAGTGGTACGTAACGCTTTTATTTTATTTGGTTTGTCTACTATTCGTATAATTTTAAGCTACCTCCAAGTTCTATGCACCCTATGAGTTGTTCTATGTGTGACATTAGTTGTTTCGCCACTTGACATTTAACTATGCTTATTATCACAAATATTTTAATTACATCTCATACCATTATTATTATTATTATTTAAGGTATTCACACCTATGATTCACTTCCCGCATTGGATATAATTTCCCAAAGTAAAAACCATATATAAACGATTGTACAGCTAGATAATAAATTCTTTGAATAGAGTCACTTCACTGAATCACCACTTGTTTTGACTTTCTACATGCCCCAATGGGAATTTTCCATGAATCAGCAAGTTTTAGACATTTTAAATACTCATGGGAGTAGAGAACATCATTGGAAGTTGTATTCTAATAGATTAAGCGCAAGCTAAACAGGAGAAATTGTGTACAATCCAATGATGGAGTATTCTATAGCCTACGTTATAAATAGAGCCCCCTCACAATAGCATCGAATTGGTAAATCTGAGATGGATTCAACCTTAACCAATGAAGAATCTGTCGGTCTTTTTAGAAGAAAGCTAAACTCAGTTTTAGCTTTCTTTTACCGATGAGATCAAAGTACTATGCAACATCAACTGTAAACCTTAAAAAGACCTGGTAGGCGAATTACGCAGGCGACTAATTTTTATGTTTGCCAATTTTTTCTCTAAGGAATGAGATAATAAATTGCGTATGTCAAAAGGAGGATGGATTGTCTCCTTGTTTGAAGTTATGTATCTTGTCAGTGGCGTCAGTTAGTTGTAGACCTTTTCTTAAAAGCCAACCGGTATTTTCCGATTTATTCTTTTACGTGATTTTTCTGTTCACACACTGAAATGATGATGTTAACTGGCTAAGGCGTCTGTGTGTGTGTGCGTGTGCGTGCATGCAAACCAATTCACTGGTCTGACATTCCAGAAAATTCATTCAACACGGTAATAATCATTAAGTTCTGCAAACTCAAACGGTGGTGATAATAATAAAGCATTTAATTTATTATTATTATTGCTCCCTTGGGTTCCTAGTGGAACATAGGGCTTCAACTGCACGTCTCCATTTGCTTCTGTCTTCTGCTGTACTTTTCACCTGTATCCATGTTAGTCCATATTCTTTCAACTCCTCTTCACACGATCTCCTCCATGTCACCCTTGGACGTCCCACATGCCGCTTCCCTTTTGGGTTCCACTCGAGGGCTTGACGCGCGATGTCACCCAGCGGTCTCCTCAGCGAGTATCCGATCCATCTCCACTTTCTCCTGCATATTTGTTGGGCGATCGGTTCTTGCTTTGTTTGTTCCCGTAGTTTCTTGTTGGTGATTCTTTCCGGCCCAGCCATCTGATCTTCAGTGTAGAGCGAAGACAGTTGTTAATAAAGGTCTGCAACAGGCTGTTGGAACTATTGTTTGTGACCCACCAAGCGCCAAGTTTCTGATCCGTATAGAAGAACTGACTTACTTGACGTTTGTATTGAAAATCCGAATTTTGTTGCTGATGCTGAGTGACGAAGAAAGCAGTTAATGGGATTGTTTATATTATTATTATTATTCCCCACTCGAAAGGGAAGTGGGGACGTTGGGCTTCATTGCATCAGGTCTGAATTCCACTCTGTTCTCTACTATCCCTTTCAACTGGCTGCTGCACGAAAGCCGCAAACTTTCATTACCAATTCAAATGATGTCCGTGTAACCCTCTAACCCACACCTAACTCGTCACTTCCCTGTTGCTCACCTTTTTCTGGTCTGTCATTTGATCTTCTCTACTGACCCAAAGAACGAGACAGGTGTTGGTGACAGTTTTGAGCAGTCTGTTGGCAATGACTTTGGTAGTGCGGGGGCCAAGTTTCACAAGCATATGGAAACATTGGAATCACTGTTAATAACTTGGATCATATAGCCAGTGGAATAGATCCCACATCTATCAACACCCTGTCGGTCACTTTGCTTTCTGACCATATTGGAAACTTGAATGATAGAATTTAGCCTGCAACAACACCAGGGAGTTAACGTATGGCATTAGTAGCTCCCCAGTTACAAATCGATGTATCCGCTTCAGTCTTACATGAGGTCAGTTGTGAACCCGATTAGATCCCTAGTGATGTTTCTGAGTGACGCGGGTTCGAATCCCAGTGGGGACATGAGTTCCTTCAAGATTGTAGATACACCTTGATGACTGACGACTGCCATCTGATATATTTTTCAACAGCTTACCTCGTAAACATGATTTTCAAAACGAGATATTTTCTTGTGATAAACTGAGAGAATGTAGATAGATATTTTCAACTATTCTTCATCACATTAGAAGTTAATTGGTGGATGGTGACTAGCAGTGGAATCCAGGATAACACGCATTTCGTCCTATTCGGGACTCGCCCTGCAGCTGGACGTGCCTGCATTCCGCACTGAGTGATATTCCCACCGAGGCTCAAACCCACTGCTCATAATTTCAAACGCCAAAGTGTTATCCACTAGACCACTTGGGCCACGAGAGCCACCTCTTGTGTGACGGGTCATTAATTATTTAATTCAATTTTAGATTTTTCGTCGAGTCTCAAATAAGACGAAGTGCGCATCCTAGATTCCAGTACTAGTCACCATCTACCAATTAACTTCTAATTACATGCCCAGACATCATCGATGCATCTGCACAAGAAGTTGACATGTCAACCTGAGACCGAGCACTTCAGTGCAAACAATCGACGGGAAAATCTAAAATTGAATTAAATATTCCTCATCACAGTTCATATTTTAGACGCTTGGATGACTATAAAATTGACCTGCAGAATTCCTAACCAATCTGAAAATTACTACAACTCTGTAATGACACCAAATGAGAGCTCTGCACCAAAATCATTTATAAATTTCATATATCTGATCCCATCAAACACAAATGATTACTATTCATAAAAAAACAATGAATTTACCTGAAAGTCTGAATCCAATTCTTCATTGTTATCAAAAGAACGTGACATAAATTTGTAGACTTCTTCGTCTTCAGCACTGAGATGTTCTTGTGAATCTACAAATCTCTGCGGTTTGCCTGAGATCGGCTTAGGCGGTAAAGGTGGTGCTGGCTGTGATTGTTGTTTCATCAGTGGTGCTGGAGTCTGTGATAATGATGATGATGATTGTCTTGGCAGCATTTTATCACTATAGGACAGTGGTAGTGTTGATGATAGGGGACAATTGACTGGAGTTAATAATCCTGTCATGGAGTTGTTTAATGTTGCATTGGTATTAAAATATCTACGACTAGGTAGTTGAGTTTTTGATGTTCCACGTAAAAGTCGACTTGTATAATCTTCTTCAGGAACTGGAGATGAACTACTTGCATTAGCTAGTTCAATGTAACCATTTTCTGAGGCACGTTGAAGTCCTGTTAATTTGGCCAACTCTAAAAATAAAAAGGATAACACATAAGACGTGATTTCCTGCTTTTTCGAGACCGGCAACAGTAAAAGAATAGACACTGAGGTCAAATGACCTTGAACTAACCAATCAGGTAGCTCAGAATTAAAAATGGATACTTTTCTTAATCTTCGTTGCAAGTTACATCCTGATTCAGGATTAAGTTAGGGTTATGATTAAGATTAGAGTGAAACTTGCAGCGAAGATAAAGAAAAGCATCCATTTATAATTCTGAGCAATCTAATTGGTTGGTTCAAGGTTATTCGATTGCTGTTATCATATTTCTCTTTGCTTTGTGAGTGGTCATTTTGCCATTCTCTGAAACCGTAAGTAATTTCGTAATATGTTTGATTACAGAGTGACTTCATTTAGAGGCATAAGTTCGAATCGATGGGCTGATGGGTTCCGTCTCGGTGGCTGAATGGTCTACTTGTAACCTGATGGTCCTGGGCTGAATCCCTGGTGGCAGTCATGCGTGCTTACTGCTGAAGAGCCCCACATAAATACAAAGCAACTTTCTAATACTCCCAGGCTTTCAGTGGTTCTCTAAATGAAGTCAGATCGTGGGCAAACTTGAAATCATACAAATACTTGCAAAGAAGCATTCGAAAATATCCTAGTTGTGGGAATAAGTATGCGCCAGACGACATATGTGCTTCAGTGATTCACCGGCAAGTCGCTCGCCAACCACGCCACACTTGGTGTGGGTTTCGTTTCCCAGCCGACGCACTCCGAAACCTACCTCCCCTTGTAGTAAGCCTGGTAGACAGGGAAGGTTCGGCATCTGAGGCTAGCAGCTCTACCTAGTAAAAACAGAACCACTGCTACTGAAGCTACGAATCTATAGCTTGAAGCCCTATGCTCCATTCAGAATATAAGGGAATAAAATATCAAAAATATACAAATAAACAAAGATGACGAGCATTTTTGTAATTCACATTAAAATTGCTTGAAATGACATTGGGTTACGAGAATCACCTTTTTTGGAACCACTGTCAATGGTTATTTATTCATGTTGTTTTGCATCAGAATGATATCATCGATGAAAACGCATGACTCTGTATTATTATATTGTTTCCTTTAATTCCTAGAGAAACATAGGGCTTCAGCCAAACGTCTCCATTGTCTTTGGTTCTCCGCCAACATTTTCACCGGTTTCCACGTTTGTCCATTCGCTTTCATCTCCTCTCCGCATCACCTCTTCCATGTCACCCTCGCACTGATGACCAGCTAACTCTCCGCTTCCCATTCGGGTTCCACTCGAGAGATGACCTGGCATGTCACATCACTCACTTGATGGTTTGTTTTCTCAGAGTATGGCTAATCCAACAACCTCCATTTCTTCCTTCATATATGTTCCACAATTGGTTCCTGGTTTGTTTGTCCCCAGAGATCCCTATTGCTGATAATTTTTGGCCACCCATTTGATCCTGAGTAGTATTGAGCAAAGACAATTGTTGATGAAGGTCGGTAGTTTGTTCGAAGTGCCCTTTGTGACACAACGCCAAGTCTCTGATCCGTATAGTAAGTAGCACTGAGTTAACATATGAGTTGAAAATCCGGATCTCACTTTTCATGCTGAGTAGTGCTGTTGACCTCTACACAGACCTGAGAGTACTGAAAGCTTGCACTGCTTCCCGATCCTCGCTTCAATATCCTCGTCAGTTCCGCCTGTAGTTGAAATGATGCTTCGTAGGTAGGTAAAGTACCCTGTATACCCTATATAACTGATATGAGTAGTTGGATATCAGTGTGACACCAGCCAGAGCTATTCACTAGCACGGCTGAAGGGATATAAGGACCAGGTGGCCGTCTTACCCGTGTGTAGTGTCGAGCTCATCAGCAGTGTGCCCTGTTTGACTCAGACAGCTGAATCACTCTTTAAACCATCCAAATTCTAGCTAACTATTACAAAGTCTAAGCAGTCACACTTTAGCTTTATTATCAGACTATCCAAGCGATGAAGTCAAATCCACCTACTGTATGGTGATCAGCAATATCGCTAGTCATTCGTAAATGCAGGGGATTTTTTAAGGTGATAGCAATATTGATAGTGATTCCCCTTTAGGAAATACACTTTCAATTTACTCGTGATTATTATTCAGTTAAATTTTCTTGATAAACCTGATTTCTTTTTAACTGGATTCAGCCTTTTAGAGTGGAGTTTAGTTGAGTCATAGGACTATTTTAAAATGACTGCCACAAGCCTTTTGGTCACATTCTCACTCATATATTAAGGCAGCAGTGCTTCGAATTTCATTTCTATTTGTCACGAGAAAATTGTCACTGTATTTCACATTTGATGTTTAACTGTGATATCAGTTAATGTCTTTGCCAACCGAAAAAGCACCGAAATTTAGGGTTGAATTATTTTTTTTAATAAATTTATTCAAATGTAGTTAATATGTTTATTAAATATAACGTGATACGCAACTAACTAACTAACTAATATGATGTTCAATGCTCAATAATAACATTCGATCTATAATGAGCTCTACTTTTTTCTAAATGGAATACACTTTATCCTTCCCTTGATGACTTAAATCTATTCAAATAAGTGCCCATGTCAGAGACTTTATCATCAGGCTGTGTAAATCATAAGTGGAATCCCTACAAGGCTTACCGTACATACGAATCAATTCTTCAGTGACAATCAGTAGTTCAAATTAGTCTATTAGTATTGTAGCCACCTATTATAGTGGCCACATTGCAAACTTGACTGATATATCCAATACAGTCCTACAGGAGGTAAGTCACCAGCGCGAACAGCTGCTTAGTGGTAATGTCTCTAGCTGGAGGCAGTACTGGGTGACTCGGGTTCGAATCTCAAAAAAGACACGAGTTTGTTCAACGTTGCAGATACACCTTACTGAGTGGTGAGTGCCAACTAGTACGAAACATAGGTCCTGTCAGGGGTTCCTGTCGACTGCCTCCAACTATCTAATACCAAAACTTCTAGTGATCAAGTGAAGGTTTTGGGGTCATATTTTAACATTCAAGTATTGGTTTTGTAGGAATTGTGTTTGATTGGTTGCAGGGTTTCATCATGAGCTGACATCAGTTAGAGAACTATTGGAAAACAATCCGGGAGTATTGGACAGCTGTTTCGTCCTAGTTTGGGACCCTTCATCAGAATTCACCCACCGGGGTTCGAGCCCAGCACCTTCTGGTTACAAGGCTAGCGGGCTTGTAGGCCATTAAGCCACTGGAAAGCAACGCTCACTAGCGACTGGCCCTATTCAGGCAGTTAACCTGGGGTTCTAGTGGTAGGCCGTAACCAGTAGGGTACAGCAGGTTTAAATTGAGGCAGTAAGTCATCGAAGAAGACATTGCAAAATGGTCACTCTGTGTCATGAGTTGGCAGAAGTTGCAATTCATGAACTGGCCATTGGATCGGATCCTAGTTGCTGCCTAGTGGTCTGCGAGCTAGCTAGCCTTGTAACCAGAAGGTGTTGGGTTCAAACTCTGGTGGGTGGTGCTTACTGATGAGGAGTTGCAAAGTGGGCTTACGAAACAGCTGTCTAGTACTTCCTGGTTTTCCAGTGGTTTCCTAAATGATGTCACTTCATGATAAAACCCTCCAACCAATCATATTTAATTAATAAATCATGACAGATACTTATATCTTAGGTTTGTAGATATACTTCGTGCGTCAGTATACCACGAAACCTGGATCTAGATAACTTCCTCCAGAAAAAACATTGATTTCTCTTTTGGATCTTATTACAAACGGTTTTCAGTTTTCAACTGACCGATCTAGCGCATTGTCCGTTTTTTGCATTCCTTTGCGTTCCAAGTTTAATATAGTTAACTTACAGCCTAATGCTTTTATTTTAAAAAAAAACAAATGTGAGTCATATACAATCAGTTGAGTGTCAAATGGTCTGTTGTTATGCTCAGCATAATACTAGTCGATTCTACCGCTTAGTTTTGTTTCTTGTCCCTCTTACACAGTAACTTACACATTCATTCACCCGATGTTAATTTGGTACTTCATATATTTATCTGAAGATACAGTTTTTTAAGCGTTTTTCATTTGTTTATCTGCTCAGCTGTGTGATCATCATATGACAATTTTTTGTCAGAGCTAAAACGTTAATTTAATCTATGCATAAGTGTGTGTGTGATAATAACAGTAAAATGAACAATAGTGGAGTAAAAAGAGATGAAATTCAACACAGAGTATGCTGGAACACAAAAATTTTGAATGAACTATCCTTGCGTCATGTCCAGTATCACATACAGAACACTCGATAGCTGTTTCGTCTCCTTCTAGGAGTCTTCATCAGGACACATCCGCGAATACGCTAGAGGTCGCACTTTGGACCTTTAAGTTAAGAGACCAGACACCCTGGAATCAGCATCCACTTGACAACTTGACACAGGGTGAACTCTACTGGTCACAAATTCCCACTGCACTTTCAAGAAATCCATCTAGTAGCCTTTACTGAGCTAGCAGTTATAAGACTTGAGAGAATTTCACACTGGTTCCAGTTGTTAGATTTTTGTCAAAAATCAACACCATAAATATCACGTGTTGACAAAGTTAGAATTCAGGGGTCATTGAATTCCAGTGCAAGTGGTTGAATACTCAGTGAGCTCAATCTCGTAACATGAAGGTTCTGGGTGCTCATTATTGAAGAGCCCCACAACAGGAGGAATCAGCTGTTTTAGTGCATCCTAGTTTTCAGTGATCCGTCTTACTGATGCTGGTTCATGACGAAAATCCACCAGTTGTAATTAATCCAAAATGCCCAAAAATTTCATAGTCCCATAATCTAAGTGGCTAGTGTTGAGTATATATTCAATTATTGCTCTTCATACTGATCCAATCTGACCTTTCTGTAGCCAAGCATGGTAGTTTACCGTGACTGTTTCGTATTGAACGACCTATCATATCACACTCAAAAGCAGCAAGTGGATCGATAGATACACATAGAAGTAGTCAAATCCGATAGTTTATGTTCAGAGTTATTGAAGAACATTGGGAGGCAGGAGAATGTCAAACTTAGTTTCGAAGTAAAGAATGTTATTTCCATGGCATTTGATATTCTCTTCTTTAGAGTATTGGCCAGAAGGTCACCTATGAAAGTATGTTGATGGTACTTTTATCATTTATGATACTAAATGTGACCTAAGTAAGGTCCTGCAAGTTTTTAACAGTTGCCGTGTAGTCATCAAATTGGTAATTGAAGCAGAAACCAGAGAAACAATTCCCTTTTAAGATGTTTGAGTATTACATAAAGCTGATGAAATACTGAAAAGATCAGTTTACGTGGGACAGTCAGCCACATGAATACCCACGCTTCACTGATAAACCTATAAGACCGGAAAAGAACAGAGAAAACCACATCTCTGTGAGGAAAAGGATGTCATACACGAATGTGGCGTTCAGAGGCTACCTTCTGATTGATACTCTAGTGAAGATAATATCAAGCTATCTGGAAAGGATATCCTTTCCTTGTTTATCAAGACTGGTATTCTCATGCTCAGCAAAGTTTTTCAGTCACTCTGAAGATAAACTTCTAAATGTATCTGTCAAGCCACTTGTTCCTGTGAAAGGAGGTATATTGGTCGTTCGGTGAGGTTTTTATCTAAAAGAGTTCCACTTAGCTGTTGAGAGATCACAATAGGTAAGTATGGAGTGCTATAAAGGAACAAAGAAAATCACACAACTGGCGATCGTTTATATATTCACAGAGCTTGAACAGTATGAAAATACGTGGTTCCGTATACATCGAAAGTTGGTTTGTATAAGGAAGACTATTCTTCTCGATATATTCTCTTCAAGTTCTAACAGTTTAGAGGTAAAACAAATCATATTTGTTATCATTATAACAACAGCCAATTATGCATTGGATACATCCTATTTTGCGTGGAACAGCTTGGTTCAGAAATTGATGATATCGTATGCATAAAAGGTTCAGCTTTATCGTACTTGATACCTGTTATTAATGCGGATATAGGCTTTGGAGAATTAAAAACCATATTCCGAAGTCATCGTCTAACACATACATCACCTACACCTTTTGCATATAGCTGAATTTGTTCAGGTAAGACCAACTAGACCAGAACTTGCTATTCACAACAAGACATGTTTAGGCGTTGTTCTTACTGTGATCCCACACAAGGGTTTCTTTTCCTCATCTTTTTCTTCACTTTTTCTTTTTTTCTCTATCCAAACTGTTTTAGTCACGGTGTTTGATAATTTGTATCCTTCATTCTAGCATTCTTTAGACACTATCGAATTTCCCGTTTGTATAGATATGCACAAACTATTCCGATTTTTTATCCAGTCCAATTTGAACATTTCTGTTGATTGACTTGATTGAAGTGTTGACCTCTGTTGATTTGTGGGCTCCTTGTGTGGATGCTTCATCGATGTCTGAGGGTTTAACTTGAAGTAATTTGGTGGATGGTGCGTAGCAGTGGTTTGGATTCCTGTGGCTTGGAGTTCCACTCCCGGTGCGGGGACGACTTGATGCCCGGCCGACGCACGCTTATGTTTCGCTTGGCCGGTAGTAATCCCAGTACAGAGGGAAGGTTGGGCATGAGAGTGACAACCTCATCCCTTAAGAAAAACACCACTGCTACTGAAACTTCTGAGCTACAGCTTGAAGCTCTATGTCCTACTGGGAATATAAAAGTAGAAGTGGAATCCAAGATGCGCAATATGTCCCATCTGGGATTCTTCAGCATCGTTGGGGCATCCATCTAAGTAACCGACACGTTAAATCATATATATATGGCATAACAAGACTATTATTCACTGTGAATAACCTCTTCAATACAATCGTTTCTTCATAATTATATGATATGAAACGAACAAACACCAGTGATGATTACGATGATGCATTGGTTTCAGTAAAGTTCGTCTCTCTAAACTCAATTAGGTGCATAGGCAAATGTAGAAGAAAATTATTAACACCAGAACTTGTTTAAGTGTTGGAAAGATTTTTTTTCCCGATATGAGTTTAAAACAAGCAATAAAGGTTAATAAAGCAGGACGACTTAATGAATTCATCAAATTTCGGTAGAACTCTTCCTCAGCTGAATACTCGTCATACAAGGAGGCATAGTTACTATTGGAAATACATTGGAAGATATAAATAAGATTGATAAACAAATAAATTACATTGAATTAATCAGGCAAAACGACACGTGTGAATGTTTTTCAGGTCATGTTCGAATAGATAATTGGGGGAAGGGAGTATGAGAGATTAAAATTAAGACAAAATGTTTAAGTGTTGGTTTGTAGGGATTTGATTGGTTACAGGATTTCATCATGAGCTGACGTTAGTTAGAGAACCATTAGAAAACTTTACAGTACTGGACAGCTGTTTCGTCCCAGTTTGGGACTCTTCATCAGGAGGACGCGCTATGTCGTGAATTGGCAGAAGTCAGAATTAATGGGCTGGCCATTGGATAGGGTCCCAGTGGCTTGATGGCATACGAGATAGCTCGTCTTGTAACCAGAAGGTCCTGGGTTTGAACCCCGGTGGGTGCGTGCTGGTGAAGAGTCCCAAACTAGCACGAAACAGCTGTCCAGTACTCCTAGTTGGTCTTCCAATAGTTCCCTAACTAATGTCAGCTCATGATGAAATCCTGTAAGCAAAAATGTATTTTGCTTCAGTTAAGTCACTTAGATAAACAACTAGCCATTGTAGAAGTAACTTAAATATGTCAAGAAATGCGTGAGAACTGAGTAATATTAATAATAATAGTTATAATAATAATAATAATAATAATAATCCTGAAGTGAGTAAAGACAATGGTACTGACAAAAGATAGTTTTAAATGAATCAGGAATTGTACTAATTAAGAGGTAGAATAAAGTGTTAATAATATTAATAGTGACAACAGTTAATAAGTGAAACGTATTACCATGGTTATTCCAGGATCTGGATTGGGGTAGTCTTAACTCGTTTTGGCATTATTATTGTTATTATAACTATTGTTATTAATACTACTCCGTTCGCAAGCAACTCTTGATATATTTAAGTTCTTTCTCTAATGACTGATTGTTTACCTAAGTGTAGTAATAGAAGCATAAAACATTTTATCTTAATTTTAATCTCTCATACTCCCTTCCCCCACTTATCTATTTGAACGTGACCTGAAAAACATTCACACGTGTCGTTTTGCCTGATTAATTCAATGTAATTTATTTGTTTATCAATCTTATTTATATCTTCCAATGTATTTCCGATAGTAACTATATATCCTTGTATATAGAGTATTCAGCTGAGGAAGAGTTCTACCGAAATTTGATGAATTCATTAAGTCGTCCTGCTTTATTAGCACCTTTTGTTGCGATTTGATTGTGATGGCTTTCAGGAGAAATAGAGTTTTCAGCAGAGATCCTTCATATCTTTTTCTTCATCCTCCACTTTGTATTCTGAGTGTCAAACTTGAGATTGCAAATTTCAGTAACAGTGGTGTTTCGTTTTTACAGGATGCGCTTGCTAGTCTCACACGCCTAACCTCCCCTCTTTCCAGGACTTATTGGCAAGCTAAGTAAGGTTCAGAGGTGTATCGATTGGGGAATTGAACTAGGATCAAGTTGAGTATAGTTGGGGAGTACCACTATCACTGAACCACTGAACTCAATTCATTATAATATATGACATTATTTATTATTATTATTCCCTTGGGTTCCGAGTGAAACATGCAGCTTCAACAATACATCTCCACTTTCCTCTTTTTTCTGCTCTTCCCTTCAGCTGGGTCCATGATTACCCATAATCTCTCATCTCCTCCTTTTCCCCACAAGATCTCCTCCATGTCACCCTAGCACTGGTAACCCACTCGTCGCCGCTCCCGACTGCGGTTCCCTTCGAGCGATGACTACCACTGAGCTCAGTGTCATTCGACGACGGCCTTCTCAACGTATGCTCCATAAATCCATCTCCATTTTTTCTTACATATTTTTCGTGATGATATCATCCTTTCTCTCCTGTGTAACCGTATTGGTGTAGTGCTCGAATGACGTACGTTCATCAACAGTCAAGTAATATAGAGAACATGGGAACTCATTGAGACATCCAGACTAGCTGAACTGGAACAAAACGTCTCAATGAGCTCCTACATATTTTATGATATTATATAAGCAGAAAAAATCTCAAGGATATTAACATACGTGGAATTTTATTTGTATATGATCCTATACACCATGTTGTCAAATCTGTACGAATAGGTGTTGGCAGTCGACGTCTTTCTGTACTGACAACAGCTGATAAATCAGTTTGTTGTAAACCATTCAGTTCAGTATTAACATTATTTGAATTATTTTTATTGCTACTATTATTATTATTATTGTTAGTATTACTGTTTGTATTGGTATAATTAACTGACGATAATTCCGTGAACTTTCGTGGAGTATTCGTTGACTTTAAAGAAGAATTTAATTGTGGAGAATCTAAAAGATATTGAAAACTTGAACTGCTTGTTCTTTCAATTGTACTGGATTTTTGTAAAACTGAAATAAAGAAAAAAAAATTTAAAAAGGAACAAAAAATAATTTTGATAGTTTGGTGTAGTGCTGTGGTGAGTTCTACTTGTTATCAGATATAAGTGTAACAACAGAAGACAAGGGCCAGGCAACAGATCATCTATATGTCAACTGTATCCGCCTACGCAACGCCTTAGTTCTCATTTTTCTCACGACCAATACTGGGGACATAAACATTGACATAAATAACTGTCCACCAATCTTGTCTAACAGCCAGCTTTCACCACATAAGTAGTATATCACTAGACGAATTCAGAAAAGTAACAATGTATTTTGGACACCACAAAAAGGCAATTAAACAAGGGAACTATAAGAAGGACGTTATTAACACTTTGAAGAACTCAACAAGCTATTGAATGTGGTGATATTCGATCAATTTGCAAATGATGTGTAAATAAAGCATTGAAGATATGGTATACCAAACTTCTGTACCTACAACGCATTTGTCCTGATCCCCGGGCCATGTACATGGTCGAAGAGCGCCCTAACCACTGTGCCACCGACGCATAGGCAGAATATAGAGAGAAATTAGAATTTATGCTGGGTTGTACAAATAATTTTAGATTTTATAAGTTTAAGAACGCCTGTTCTCAAAGTGCTAAGTCGTTTCAGCTAGGAGCGGCTAAAAGATGCTATGGATGTGAAACTTCACGCACAAACAGGCTGGATTCATGCGTCGGTCAAATTCCAACAACTTTATCACAACGGAAATCTCATTGAAGCTTTTGAAATGAAGACAGAGGCAAGTGAGATCCAGCTACTATTACCGATGATATTCATAACTGTAGTAGAGTGGATCATGCGGCAGATCGTGCGTAGGCAGCGAGAAGGCAGGAATACGTTGGGCTAATAAGAAGACTGTAGGAGATGTGGACTTTGCGGATGATTTATGTCTAATATTTGACAAGACTGAAGATATACAGACTAAGACCAACAATGAACGAAATATTCCCATATTGAGTCATAAGAAAAATGTTTGTTCGACGATTCATTTTCAATTTCAATCACAACCGGTCCTGTAGAAAATAAGACTTGTAGTTTACTGCCATTTAAACTTCTTTGAACTGATTTGCTTAACTTCCTCGTAAATGTTTCGCTAGGTATATCGCCCTTGAAGTGCAGTCGTATGCATAAAGGCTTCTTGTTTACGGGTAGTGAATAGTCCTTTTCAACTTTCTTAGTCACGTGTTACCTGATGAATTTGCCTGGATAGCGATTTTCAATCAATGTATCATATAGCGTCCTGAGTTCATTCTTAACTAACTCTATTAAGCATATAGCTGTAACACTGTGGCTGAGGGTCATTACTAAATTTCTTTTTGTACTGGAAAATACTAGGAAGAAATGTAGCCAGACGTCAAAACTTCTGATACAGTGATTACAAATCAAGTGTCTGAATCAGTGAGACTGGACTCCAGTGTAGTGTAAACATGATATTCTTAGTTAAATACAGCATTGTGAATTCAGAAACAACGTTCTAACTGTAACCAATAATTGCTTTTTCCCTCTTAAAGATTCTTTCCCGTTTAAAGTGGAACTTATGGGAACACGCATTTGAAATTTCAGCAGTGGTGAGTTTGTATATTCGTTTTTCTGCCATTACTATCAACTGTTCAACTAGGTGAGGTTTAGGTATGTTTTTACAAGTTTGACCACGGACTGATATCAGTTAGAGAAGCACTGAAAACCATCAGGGAGTACTGGACAGCTGTTTCAGCCTAGTTTTGGGAATCGTTGGCAGTACACACCCACTGTGGTTCGAACCCAGGACCTTCCGGTTACAAGGCAAGCTTGTATACTTGCCAATGAGTGCCTACTGCCAATGATTCCCGAAACTAGGATGAAATAGCTGTCCAGTACTTCATGGTTTTCAATGCCAACTCATATCAATCCATGGTCGAACGCCTTAAAACAAATCTAATCCTTACAAACCAATTATATGTAAAACTTGGGCACTGTGGTAGTACGTAATCCCATATTAGTTTACTTATTAGGTGTATCACACAGTGAAGCAGTAATATTTAATGGATGACGTTTCAAACAAAATTTATTGTTCATATCAGTTATAATCACACGACTTCGAAACTTGAGTTTTACAGTTTTTTTTGTTCTCTCCTCTTTGTTGTCATTGGGGTAGTAGAATTTTCCAGATATCTGGGTGGACAGGTGTTGAATCATTCCTATTACATGTATTCCCTGTCAGTTGATCCGATAAACAAAGCTTCTGTTATCAATCTCTCACTCCATCGTGTGACATTAGATTTTAAAACTGTCATCCTATCCCATCCTATTGCATGGTTGTGTGTAACCGCATGTGGTGCTATACCTGAACTATTCTCTAGATTTCTTATCTTATTCGGGTCAACTAATCTAGATTTTACTAGGTTTTTATGTTCAGCTAGTCTGACTGACCCTGTTCTACTAGTTTGACCTATGTATTTGGCCTGACAATCATTGCAGGCAGGATATTAAGTGAACTAAATTATTTTGTTTTAAAGGCTCAACAGGCAGGATCCTTTAACCAACAAAGTTTGTTTCTAATTGAGTTTGTGGGTGGTTTGAATGTCAGCCAATTTTATTCCTGCATTGTTAGGAATTCTGAGTAAGGTTTCCGAGGTTCCTTCCTTGTATGGAATTCCTACTGATGATTTAGATTCCTTATACGTTGGTGTTGTCTTGCGCATATTTAACATTCATGTCGTCATTAATATTATTATTATCACTATCACTACCATCATTATTTACTTCATTTTTACATTTCCCTACATATTTCCTGACTAATTTACCCGGGTAATTATTAGGTTTCAAGGCTTCTTTTTTATGTATCACTTCCTGTCTTAGATTTTCCTTGCTACTACTTAGTTTTTGTGCTCTGTCACATAGACATTTCACCAATCCCATTTTTACTGACATAGGATGGGATGATCGGAAGACCTAGTGTCTGTTCGAATTTGTGGGTTTCCTATAAACACTAGTGTTCAACTTCCCATCTTCTTTTCTTTTTACGCTGCAGTCTAACATTGTAAGTTCCTCTTCCTGACTTTCCAATTTATAAGCGAACTGAATTGCCTCCACCTTTGAGTTGATGTTTTCAAAAAATCTATTTATATCTTGTGTTCTACGTACAATGAATGTGTCATCTACATACACCTCCACTACACTTTTGGTGTTGGGCTAAACATTTCGATCGCTATGCACTCAACTCAAGTTTCGGAGACGTGTGATTATAATTGATATGATTATGAACAAGAAATTGTGTTCCAAACGTCATCCATTAAATAATACTTTTTTACTGTGTGATACATCTAATAAACCAACTAATATGAAATTCCTTACAAATGAAATCTTGAAAAGTTTAGGAATGTGTCTGCCTGAGAATGAAAGTTAAAACTTCCACATAAATGGCAACCACTCTATCTTTGAACCACTGATGCACATTTTACCTTATCAATCCTACCTAATTCATGATAAATCATCGTCTACTAGTAAAAACATTTCAACTCTAACCAGTAAGTATGGAAGTGAAAAACAACATCCCACCAACTTCAGTCACTCATTTTTGAAATAACAAAAATCATATCCAACGAGGTGATGTTTTTTTTTCTTTATTTTACCACTTTTTCTTTAAGATCTATTGTGAGCTATCAAATGAGTATTGGAAAATTCTAGTGACACAAAGTTCCAGTATTTTTAGCAGTTATCAACACAGTATATGTTCAAATTCTAAAACAAATTTGTCGTTCATAGACTTGAACTCATAGACTTGTAACAACAGAAGACAAGGGCCAGGCAACAGATCGTTTTATTATGAAAATCAACACGTATTTATACATCTTTCAACTACATTATTATAGACAAGCGCAGTCATCTGATTGGTTGTTTAGGTAGACAAACGCAGGCTTCTGATTGGTTGTTTCGGGATTCCTTGACAAATAGAGTTCTCTCTGCGAATCATATTTTGCCACGTTAACTTTGCTGTGATTGGTTGTTGACTCAGGCTTGTTCATATTTTCTCACGGCCCATATTAGTGACCTAGACCTTAACGTAGATTAGTGCCAACCAATCGGCTAGCAGCCTGCTCTCACCACAGACTTACATTTCCCAGTATTAACCTATTTACAGTGAATGACCCCAAAACAACGAATGAAGTCTGGTCGTTTATTTTCCAAGGCCTTCTACATGTTTCTGAAATGTACTTTGGTGACAGTGTACTTAGATGGTATTGGTGATACATTCAAAATTTAGTAATTCACCCTACCGGTGCACTGGCAGCTACTCATTTCAGTTATCTGAATGTCTCCATTGTCTCTAATCTGAGGAAGACAAGCGCTTACTTGATGGATGGTGACTAGCGGTGAAATTCAACCTGTTGTGGTCTAGTGCGTTGGTGGCACAGTGGTTAGAACTTTCGCCGATCATGTACATGGTCCGAGGCTCGATCCTCCGTCGACGCACACCTGATATCAATGGTCGGCCTGCAAAATTTGGGCTACCGGTATCACATGCTGAAAATTTCATACTTGTACCAAAAATACGGTGTGGAATCAAGCTCTAATCAAAATAAAAAAGAGTGGATACCACTTTGTTGTTTGAAACGTTGGGTGCTGTTTCCCAGTCTCACTGAAAACATGATCAAGTTTAGTCTCGAGCTTGCACCAGTTAGACAGCCATTAGAAAACAAGGGTATACTAAACGGCTGTTTTTTCCTAGTTTGAGATTCTTTAGCAGCATGCATCCACCATCTTTCGAACGTAGGACCTTCCGACTACAAGTTGAGAACGTAGACTAATCAGACACTGGAAGAGAATTCAATGACCCATGAATTTCAACTTCTACCAATTCGCGACACGTATAGCGCAATTGCCACTCTATGTCACAGACAAAAAACCATTCTGTTACCTGATTTGGTGGACTCCACGAACACGATCACTCAAAGGAGATTTCAGGCACATCCAACTGACGAGTGTTAAATATAACGAAATGCACCTCTTATATTTCTGTACTGGCCAGCATTCACCAAACACCATCTCGTAAATCCTCAGATATTGTCGTATAAATAAGAGTCGGCGTGTCAAAGGAAACTGGAAATTTTGGTTCAATGAAGTCAATCAGTCAATTAGTCAGTCAGTCGAAAAGAGGAGATTAATTTAAATAAACTCTTACTTGCTTGCTTATTGTTCGGTGAATTCCTACGAGGTAAAATATCATCTTCCCAACTGTGAGGATATCGAGGATACTGGAAAAGACCACTAGTGCTACCAGCATCAGCCTCACCCCCACTCACACCACCAACTGAACCACTGGTCACTTCATTTTGAACTGTTTGATTTGTAAAGCAGTTATTCATCATTAATTTTGAATTTCTTAACACATTCGATATTGTTGAACTTGTCATCATCTGTTGGTTGTTGTACAATGAAGAACTGTCGGTTAACTCATCGAACACCGGTGTGCTTTGTTCATTTGGATTACTGGAATATGCTGATAGTTTACGTTGCTGAAATTTCTTATCCAGCGTACTATCCTGCTGTGATTTAGCATTAGAATTAAGCTGAAATGTAGGTGAGAAAAAGCAGGTGAGACAGTTTAGTAACGGGAAAAAAATCGATATTTTACACAGGAACCTGGTCGTATACAGGGAGAAAACTGTTAGAGACACTGTTAGGTCGACTTGATATCATTTCTTAATGATATGTTTCCCTGAAGACCTCGTGTTTTTAAAGTAAACTTCAATACAGAGTGTAAAATCTATCAGAGGATTCCTAAAAGACTAAGGTATACACAACAGCCATTTCTTGAGAATTTGAAGATTTTTGATGGGGCCTATTCATAATCTTTCGTGAAACAAACTCTTTATCATCCAAAACCTTAACGGCCTGCATAAATTTCGGCCACCAACAATCATCGTCAATATCTCACAAATATTTTCTTCCGTTAAATTTGTTTAAATCCGATAAAATAAGACCTTTAATTATGTTTTATAATCTGGCGAGTATCTAATATGCTTACAACTTGCTTACTGGCAAGTTTCTAGTTATTGTGACAGAAAAACATAATCGTGGATTGTAGCATATTGCAATACAAGAGACAGGTGTTCATGGGTTATATTCTTGGTTCCCAGAATGGATTCTAACGTGTTAACGTCTCTGACTACAGGCTGCACTATGTGACACGTAGGTCGGAATCTCAGATGGGATATGAGTCCCTTCAAGACTGCAGATACGCCTTGCTGACTGCTGAGGGTAAACAAGCATGAACTCTGGATGTAAGGCTTTTTGCCAATTGCAACCAACCATCTTATAAAAATGACAAATCTTTAAATTATGCTTATTGGCAAAACTAAAGAGGAAACAAACAGAACTAAGGTTGAAACTATTTACTCCGAGAGTATAAAATTATTAAAATGGGTGAGTCATAAGAAATTAAACTGGTTTGCAGTGTGCGCTATACGAGATGTATGAACAGTATGAATGGTGTCCCATTATTCAGTAAAACGTCTCATACGAAAGGTCAACAGACAACTGAAGTCGATGACAAAGAAAGAACATAGGGTTCTAGTGAGAAGTCGTCACCGGTAGGATGCAGGAGGTCGGGTGTGAGGACAAATACTCGCCGAAGACATTGGCCAGGGGTCGCGCTACGTCGTGAATTCGCAGGAGTTAGAATTCATAGGCCATTGGATCGGTTCCCAGTGGGTTAATCGTATACGAGCTCGCTAGTCTTGTAACTAGAAGGCCCTGGGTTCGAACCCTGGCGGTGGGTGCGTTCTGCATAAGAGTCCTAAACTAGGACGGAGGAAACAGCTGTCCAGTACTACCAGGTTTTCCAGTGGTTATCTAACTAATGTCAGCTCATGATCAAATCCTGTAACCAATGAAATTCCCACAAACTAACACTTGAACATGAAATAATGTATTAAGTAGGAAATCAAATCCAAACATTATGAGAACAATCATTAGAAGAAGTTCTTACTGACGTTTCGCTATTTGATGCTAATGGCTTTATCAAAGTAGTATTAAGGACGAATCTGCAAAATCTAAGCTTTTATCCTGTAACTTAATCACAAAGTTCTTTTAGAATGAAGTAATTTATTTTGGGTCGTCAAGTGGGTGGAATCGGCAAAGATAACAAAGCCATGTGTGCAGACTGTTGTCGGATTTGATAAATGTATGAAAACATAAAAACAGCATGTGTTTACATAATGAAATTGTTTGTACCATACTTGTACTGATTGTGTTACTTAAAGTGTGTGTAGGGGGCGAGTGGGATGGTGAATTGCTTGAACCAGATCACATTGTGTCTTCCTATGGAGTGTGCTTCTGATATGAAATATTCTTTGAGATTTTCAAAAGTTTCTCTGAATGAATTCAATATTTTCAGAATCGGTTTTGTGACCAGCTTTTATAGCCTGTAGATCTGTGGTCGATGATATTTCAAGCTTTTTAAGTTCCATAGGATTTGTTAGAGGATTCCATCATCAGCTGACATCATTTAGAGAACCATTGGAAAACCAGTTGGGAGTACTGGACAACTGTTTCGTCTGACTAGTTTGGGACTCTTTAGCAGTATGCAGCCACCGCAGACGTCTGAACCCAAGACCTTCTGGTTAAAAGGCTAGCAAGCTCGTAGACCGTTAAGCCATTGGGAACCAATCCAATGGCCCATGAATTCTAACTTCTGCCAATTCACAACATTCATGGATAATCCCCATCCAGGCATTGATGAAAACAAAACACGTAGATCAGCGAAGAGTCTCCTTTCGACGGTGAATTCATTTTCTTAGCTGTACAATCGCGAATATATATGTCTTGAAGAGAATGAAGGCCAGTCAACTAATCAGTGGGGATATCTACGACCAGATCTGGCCAACAGGTTCAATAATACCAAGACTTGATGGTCTACCAGAGGTACACAAAGTTGGTCTCCCACTTCATCCAATTCTGGATATGTCAAGTTCTCCTTACCACTCTATTGCAAAATGGCTAGCAGATATTCTGGGACCTGTAAGGAAACAGTTATGTGCGCACTCGCTCCGTGACACCTTCCAGTTCATCGACTGCTTACAAGATATTAATGTATCTAAAAAAATTATGCTGTTTTTCGACATTAAGTCAATTTTCACCAATCTCCCACTGAAGGAGACGGTCTGCTTCATATGCAGATATATAGATTACAAACATCTCAGTATTCGAATACCAACAACATATTGGAAGGAATTACACTCTGAACGTCCAGTTCACATTCAACGACACCATCTACAGACGAAAAGATGGTATTGCAATGGGATCTCCGTTGGGTCCACTACTATCAGACTACTTAATGGCAAGCCTCGAGAGAGGTCGAATGCCCCCAATCTACTGCTGAAGACATTTAACTGTTGCCGTCCAGGAATAAAGTTCACTCTTGAAATGGAAAACGAGTCAAAAATTCCGTTTCTTGATGTGGAACTAACAAGAAGAGCTGATGGGAGTCTAAGAAGATCGATCCATGGAAAACATACGTGAAATGGTCAACTAACAAGCTTCTATAGCTGGGTACTCACTCAACAAAAGCGAAATTCAATTAAATCACTTGCCACCCGCATCCGACGCATCTGTAGTCCCGACATTCTGGAAACTGAATTAAATATTCTAAGAGAAATCTTCATCTAAAATGGATGCCCAATAAGATTCATCGACAAAAATATCAAACCAATAATTCTGAGAAACGAAACTTCAGTTACGCCTAAAAAGAAACTCTACATGAACTTGGATTTCAAGGGAGATTTAGCAAGCGATATTCTCAAGAGAAGGATCACATCATCTCTGAGAAGAACATTTTCTTGACTTGTATTACCAAACTTCACCTGTTTAGTTAAAATAACCCTAACCAATTGTATGTATTTTTGTTTGACAAACTTAATGTACACATACATACAAAATAACACATATATATTTGCGATTGTACAGCTAAGAAAATGAATTCACCGTCGAAAGGAGACTCTTAGCTGATCTACGTGTTTTGTTTTCATTAATTCACAACATAGCTCGACCGCTAGCCAATGTCTTCGTCGAAGGTTATTCCAATGCTCACTGGTGACTGAATACAGTATAAAGTTGCCTAGAATTCTGGTCAGAAACCATGATCAATGGGTTTCATCATCAAGACAAAGCGTAAGAATAAATCCTCATCAGAGATGCTGACTGTTGGTGGCACTATCTGTTGCGAATCAGAAGAATTTAGAACTGGTGGGCCATGCGTCTCACACGTGTGTGTTGCTCAGGGGTCCCAAGATAGAAAGAAACTGCTGGTGGCTTCTAACGCTTCTCTAAATTATTTCAGCCAGTGAAACCAACATTTGTTACGTTCTAATTTCACTGTCGGTGTCGTAACACACACGGATGACGTTTACAGAACTGTAAGCTATCGATGCTCCGTTAGTTTTTATTTTAGCAACAGAAAATAATCAAACCGATTTCAGTTTATGGTTTGAAGTCAACCAACTTTGAGTTTTATTCACTGCTCATTATTCGCTCATTTTTAAAAAAAAAATTGCGCAAAACTATTTAACTAATTTTCAAAAATTTCTATTTTTATGAACTAAGTGACACCGAAGTTTAGTCCTATCTCCCGTTCACACATTGAAATATATATATATATATATATGTATAGGAAAATCAAACAAACACCGTCTAACTGAATTTTATGAGTTTCAAAAATTTGGAGGACAGACGTGTTTTAGTTAACCCCATCTACTTTTGGTTTTACGGAAAAAAAAGAGAGAAACGAAACATATGTATACTTCAAAAAAATTTACCAACAATAACCGTTTCGCGAGTGAAGCCACTGAAGCATCAGCAATGGCTAATCGTTGTCTTTGGATCAATAAATGCTCCAGGAGTAGATTTCGTTTCGATTCCTAGGAAAAAAATAGTAAGGGAAAAAATATGAAAGAAATACGAATTTTAAAAATAGCACATAGTCATACATACACCTTTTATATAGCATATTGACTAACTTTATTTTTGGTTATTATTATTGTTTCCTTTAGTTCCTAGAGGAACATAGGCCTTCACCCTCACGTCTCCAATGCGTTCGGTTCTCTACCAACGTTTTCACCTGGCTCCACATCTGCCAACATGCCTTCTTCTCCCCTTCACATGACATCCTCCATGTCACACTTACACTGATGAATAGATAACTCGCCGCTTTCCATTCGGGTTCCACTCGAGAGAGAGAGTGCCTGTCCTGTGATGTCACTTGATGGTTTTCTCACAGAATGGTCAATCCGCCTCCATTCCTTCCTGCATATCTGTTGCACAATTGGTTTCTGCCGGGTTGATCCGCTCCTAGAGATCCCTGCTAGTGAATTTTTCTGATCATCTGATCTTGAGTATTGAGGGAAGTAAAGTTATCTTGGGCAGATGGTGGTTAGTGGTGTTGGCGTTTAAGATGAGTGTTTCGACCCATTTAAGATTTGTCAGGGGGGTGTAATTGCATTCTGGCACAGTGATGGATGTTTTTTCCCTTGAGACCCAAACTCTACACTCACTGTTTCAAACTTCAAAGGATTATTCGTAACCAGTAGAAAGTACTTTTTGCACTTGCTAGTGTATCGTTAACAGGGTTTATTTGTGATGCCGTGAAGGAATTCCATCTGCTGTAGTTACAGATGATTTCCTGTGAGACTCTTATGAGTCCACTGAATGATTGGTCACTACACTGTGTATTAGGACGGACAACGATTGATACAAGCATTCGCATCTTAAATAATCATAATAACAACATATATTGCCGAAATTTTCGGTGAATTTAGTTCCAAAATATTCTCTCTTCGTACAGAATTTTCATGTAAAGCGCAATAATCTGAAGTACATTTCATCTGTCGTAGTGTTGCTGCTTCATATAAGGAGACAACCAATTCTGTACACTTTTTCTTCAATCCCTTCAAAAATTCCATAGCTTATAACGGGAAACTAATTAAATATGCACGGGAGTTTATGTATTGGTCATCTGATATAACTGCATGATGAAAACAATAAGAAGTGCAAAAGAGCTTAAGAAATTTCATGAATGGAAATCCTGGTAGTAGACCAGTGATTTAATCAGGCCAGAGGATAACTATGGTTTAAATTTCTTTTGATAGGTAAACGATATATATTTCAGTGAAGCCACAATACATTCTGGCGACGTATGAACCCAAATTATAGTATAATTCAGTGCTGAATATTTTTTGGATTCCTTTACGTTCCTAGTGAAACATAAAGCTTCAAGCGAGAGGCTTGAAGTTTTGGTAGCAGTGGTATTCATTTTACGGGATAGGATTGCCAGCCTCATGCTCAACCTTCCGTCTTTACCAGTCTGATTACCGGCTTAGAGAGATAAAGGAGTGCGTCTGTGGCTGGAAGTCGAAACCCAGACCCCCTCAGTGACTGACGAGCATTCTACCACTGTACCAGCAACGCCCTATCAAAGTGCTTGCTAGTAAATTATATTTGCAGTCAGTGAGTTATTCGCATAGTGAGATTATTGATTCTGTCATCCAATCAGCCGCAGAAGGACAGATCCATTTATCAACAAATCCATTACTTGCACAGTTTGGTTTCAGTGAATCCATGAAAACTAATGCTAAATATAAGATGGATAATCCGGATCCCAATAATGCGTCAAAATCCAGTAAAGAAACTACTTGTACAAGATCAAGAGACATTATCAGTTAGAGTTCAGTGATTTTCACCTCAATCTCACTTATGTCAGCGAAGAAAAGGATTTTCTCCGTTTCCCAATACGTGACATGTTGCTAAAAATGCTTCTGTAGATATTTTGTACTCACTTGGCGATATATTGTGCGATGTTCAACTCATTTCAAAAACTTTTACAGATTTGTGTTACTTTACTAATCGTCTTTAGTTGGATATGTTGAACATTGACTAGACTGACAAGCTGTACTTATCGAAAATACTTTTCCGTGACATCGATTTTGATGAAATGATGCCAATTCTTCGTAAAATATTTGGGAAACTTAAATAAGTATTCAACAACCGCTACAAGTGTTTAGTTACAACGAAGGAACAATGTGATGATTTCCCTATTTTTGCTGGTAAAGTCAACTGTGCACCAAGCAAGGTGCCTACACTATTTCATGGAGGAGATATCATAGACAGAGAAGACTCAGACATTTCTCCATTAGTGAATCTGTGTGGATTCATTATTTCCGAATGCTACGCCCAAATGGACTATAGAACTAAGCGAAGAGAAAACGGGCACAATAACATACAATGTGCTGAGGTTAAGGTATATAAATCACATAAGGAAACGAGAAGGTTTAGACAATACCAGAGACCGTTTTTAGGTAGGTTTACCCATGGACAGCCTGTGCAGAGAAACAACTGTGAAAAAGAAATCAATTGGACCACAGTCGCCTAGATGGCACTAAGAATATCACAGTAGGTTTCTCAGACCTGCGAAGTACATTCAGATGGAACTTATTAAAAAGGGTGGGTGTTAGAACTGCAACATATAATTGTTAACCATAAAGTTATGATCATTATTATTATTCCTTTATGTTCCACTAGGAACATAGGTCTTCAGCAACACACCTCCACTTTCTTCTGTTCTCTGCTGCTCTCTTCAGCTGGCTGGCTCCACAATTGACCATAAACTCTCATATCCTTATTGCCACACGATCTACTCCATATTACCGTCTCACTGACGACCCACCCATCGCTTCCCATTGGGATTCCACTCGGACGGTGGCTTGCATTGAGTCCGACGCCATTCGACGGCCTTCTCAGTAGCGTATGCCCAACCGATCCATCTCCATTTTATACTACATATTTATTGAGCAATCGGTTCATCTTTGGTTTGTTGCCAGACTGCTGTAATTAATCATTTGTTGATTATTTATCTATGGACTGAATTCCCATTGATGTGTAAACGATACATATACTCTGTATTGTGAACGATAATGTTGTTGTCAGGCTTGTCTCATTGAAATCTGAATTTAATGCGTCTATTCAGTGTGGAGAATATTTCCGAGCGATCAGTTTACTGCAGGAATATTATAGCCGAGATGGATAGCAACCAACAAAAGCAGTAACACTCCATTACAGTAGTGTGTCAAATAGGATATTGTTTAACTCTCCTCATCTGTGATAGAGTGAAATCGACTAAGCCTGATATGCACTCATCACAGTATGAGGATTATGATTGAACAGTAATTTTGGCTACACTCATATACCTCTGTAAGCAGCCATCTAGAATCACTAGACCTTATTCAGTTCATTCAGTTGTAACATATTTTTCACTTTTGATGGTTTTATATATATTTTGCATGAGATGTACAACCGGAAATTACTGTTTCGTTCAGACATAATTGATGAGTTGAATACATCAGCTCTCTCGCAGCGGTAAATATGCTTTGAAAAATAATTTGAAATTGTCCTAAAAATGAACCATTCATTATTTATTCTGCTCTAAATAGGATTGATCACTTTGACCGATAAGTAAACAAGCAACCCTCGCAAACATGACTGATAGAATTCAGTCCACATCAACGATAGGGGTAGTCACATTGCACTAGTTACTAATTAGTGTACAATCAGAACAAAAATATCCAGTGTGGTGTTACGGCAGGTCGATCGCGATCCCAAATAGCTCAGTGGTAATGTCTCTGATTGCAGGCGGCACTGCGTTACGCCGGTGCGAATCTCGGGAGGGATATTAGTTCTTTCAAAGTTGCAGATACGCCTTGCTGACTGGTGACTGCCAACTAGCACAAAACCTAGGTTCAAGGCTCTCTGTTCCTTGTATTAACCAACCGGGGAGCAGGATTCGACTGGAAGGCTGTAAAAGGTTTTCGGCTGACCGTCAGTATTCCTGTACAGGCGCTAATGGATGTAAAAGTTGGTGCTTTCCTTGAAAGCTTGCCAAAAATAATAGTTAAACAAACTCAGTACTTCAAAACCTCATGTAGTTAGTTAGCTGGTCTTAATTCTTGAAGAAGAGGGCATGGGATCGGATACCATAGCTGTCCAGGAAAATCAAACCAATATCTACAGAAATTTCAGAACTGGAATCAAGGAGATCAAATGATGTGGGCTGCTGAAAGTCCTCAGCCAATGTGTCTTCTTTTGGTGAGAGGAAGAATAAGTATTGGGAAATGAAATACCCGTACGACGTTTAAAACTGAGAAGGCTGCTAAAACTGTACACAAAATAAGGAGATTTGGTAAAGAAGGAATCTGTGAGAACAGATGGAATTGAAGTGGAATTTCCAAGTTGTTTATTGGAGTGTCAATAATCTAATCCGGTCACCCACACGAAAATCATGATGAACACACTGAAAGAATGGCTATCGAAGGCTGTCGTTCAGTTGGAAGCATTCTTATTCAGTGTACCGACAGCAAGATTCAATGTAAAGGCTAGGAAAGTTACAATTATCTAATGATACGCTCCTACAAACAACTGTAGAAGGAGGAAGTATCCTACACACAACTACAAACAGTAGAGGACAAGACCTGAAATAGCGACTTGGAACTCATATTGGGTGATATGAATGCCAGGAAAGCTGGGGGCAGACAACACAAGAAGACAATTCATCATGAGTTAAGAGACGCTTAGCGAAATGAATGGGAACGGAGAGCTGAAACTGAAGTTTCAGTGATTGGAGGCAGTGTGTACAAATACAGGAACATACACAAGGGAACGCGAGTTTCACCAGATAAAATTCACTTCCCTCTTAAGGAATGACTTTCTCTGGACACGTTGAAGCTAAAAGAGGGAAGACGAATGGTGAAACAAAAGAAGCTGAGTTCAATGTACAACGCACTGAGTAGAAAAGTGAATGAGAGTGTTAGGAAAGACAAAAGACAGTTCTGTGAAACTCTGGCAACTGAAGCAGGACAGGCAATAGCTAAGA